ACGCAGCAGGCAGTGGATAAACAAGAGAGAGTAGAGTCTGGACTTGTAGAGAGGGAGATCCTACATCATTTGGGTATCAATTTGAGTCCTTTGCGCAAAGAAGGAAAGGGTGTATGTGTATAGTTTGAAGGGCGAGTGCGTTGCGCAGAGGGAGAGTGTAATTGGGATGAGAGCTCAAGTCAGGGAGCCAGCAGGTCTGACATTCAAAGCCTTAACGGCAGGTGGAGGGAAGATCGACCTGGTGGAGTGAGTGTTTTTTTTTTTTATTCTGTGGAAAGACCCACTCTGGAAACTGCACCACGAGAGGGAGAAGCCGGGGAGAGGGGTCGAGGAGGGGCGGGCAGGCAGGAGGAACTCCGCAAGGGGAACAATGCAAGTAAGGCAATAATGCATTCTCTCAAGCCTAGTACGACACGATGAACTGGCGCTCAAAGACAGCTGAGAAAGGGTTATAGAGAAGAGGGGACACCGCGTCGTTTTTAAGTCCTCGATCCTGTGACGTTGAGATGGAGAGAGAAAGAGCGCACGGACGAAAGCCGGTTGATTGCTGCAGAGGAGGCGCGAGGATCAGCCCCAGGACAGAGATGTTGAAAGATCGGCGCCGGGGACAGCAGTGGACGGTGATTTTTCTCGTCGCCCTCTCTCTGCAACCGCAGGTAAACCGCACCGATTAAACGCTATTTTCGGCCGTTGTTAACCCTGCCCTGACTTTTACAGTCGGTGTTTTCTTCCCACAGAGTAAATAATGGTGCACACATTCTACTTCCCTGTTTATCTTGTCAATATGTCACCCCTTGCTCCTAATGGCGCTGTGCCCACCTGTTGTCGTGCGTCTTAATTGTCGCGTGTCATCCACTTGTTGCTCCATGGGCGTGTCCTTTCTTCTGTAGGCTACAGGAGAAAACCTTCACGTCTTTACCAAGCATGGTCTTTAGTTACACCAATGTTTGTTATTGGGATTCTAAGCCTATTACACTGTATTTTTTTTCTTCTTTCCCGTTGAAAAGGGCTAGACGGCCCATCCATGAAGTGTATTGTTTGAACCAGAACTGCAGAGGGAAATACAATACAGTCTCCTGTAGGCTATAATGGTGTAAAAATAAATACTTTATGGGAAATAACAAGCTAAATGTTATGGTGTCTGTGGATGGAGTAAGGCTGTCTTCTACGCTATGTGTTTACTACTACACCCACAGGTCAACCTCAGATCATGTTTACTTACAAGGTGAGAGGGAATTCAAGGGAATTGTTCGTCAGTCTGTCCCTGTGTGTGTGTTTGCGCGCGCGCGTCTATTCATGTATTTCACAGTCAGTGAGTCCCTGCCTCACACCTTCCCATGAATGCAGTCCATCCTCTTTCTACAGCAGGGGTACTCAACTACTATTTGAGAAGGTCTAGTGACACACATTTCCTAGTTGGCAAAGGTCCGGATGGATATTGTCCTTTATCGGCGCTGTGGTACAGCGTAGTAACAAACATAGTCGTCTACGACTTAGGAAACATGTTGTTATATAAAATGTTCATTAAATACATTAAATGAGACTAAGAATTTGAATTAATTTCAACTTCTTTCGTATGTAAACACGTGTAACATTGCATCAACATTGCTGAAGAACAAAAGTGGTTGCATAACTGTCTTTGCAAAAAGTGCACTGTGAACCATTGTACATGGGCCTTCAATTTAAAAAAAAATAAAAATAAAAAAATAAAGTTCATGTTTTCTGGAGAACAAAGGAGAGTTGAACACAAATAATAATCTGAATGCACAGAATGTCACTGTGGGCCATGCAATATTCATGTATAAATCACTCTGGGCCTTGCCCTGCATTAATGAGAGAAATTACACTTTCTGTCTCCTGCCAATGCTTTGAACTTTGCCACAAATGGTGTGAGAGCAACTCTGAGACACTGGTGCAGGTGTTCATTGGTGAGCCTGGTGCCTTATTTGTTTTTAATGAAGTTCATTGTGGAGAAGGCTGATTCACAGCTGTATGTGGAGCCAAACATGGTCAGGATGTCTAGTGGCAGTTTCTTGAGAACAGAGACATCAGCTACAGGCACCATCTTTCCCCAGAAAGTGACAAGGTCACAATCACCAGCCTGCTCCTTCTAAGCCACATTTCCTTCCCTGAGCTCATCTTTTTGTTTAGCTTCAAGCAAGGTGTCAGCAACTTCACACATGCATTATTTTCCCATCTCAGCGTCTGAATTGTTTTTTGTTGTGTTTTCCCAAAACCCAAGCTATCCTCAGTGAACACTCATTGCACGTTGTTGGGCTGTCAGGGAATTGCCAAGGACTTTCGTGGACCTCTCATATTGGGATTTGAGTTGGTTAATCTTGTTTGTTCTCACCCCTGTGTTCAGAGGATATGTCTGATCGAATTTACTATGCCTGGTGTCATAATGGCGCTTAACATTGGCACTTTTCACGATAGCTACGGACTCACTGAATATCAGGCACATTGGTTTTGTGCTAGTTGTGAGGAGACTGAATAAATACTGTTCCGTCCACTCGTCTTTGTATATACGGTTTTCAGAGTCTTTTTTTTTTTTAACAAGCCATATTAACATAGATACTGGTAACTAAACTCCTTCTATCTGTGATATTTACAGTTGAACCGCGGTCAAATCTTTCTGTTTCTTTCTTTCTGCCTGCTTGTCCCAAGGTTCCCCTAAGGATATTTGGATTAATGTGATTGGGTAACACGCGGCCTCTTTTATTTGCATATAACCACACGATTGGATTAGACAGGGCACTAGTAGAGGTGGGCGTTGCTTCGAGAGAGAGCGAGAAAGAGAGGTTGCTGAGTTAAAGAGCCCGGTTGATTTTTTAAAAACAGTCTAAAAATAATATATTGACTTTTATATAACAAAATGTGATGTTGTCCGATCCGGATTGACCCTTCTCTGGGTCCGGACCCGGACCGTGGTCCGCCAATTGAGTTTGGCTGCTCTACAGTATGTAAAAGCTCTGCAGATGACCAGGAATAGTCCAGCATAGTATAGGCTACCTTATAAATCAAATCACATTTTATTTGTCACATGCACCCCAATACAACAGGTGTAGACCTAACCGTGAAATGCTTACTTACAAGCCCTTAACCAACAATGCAGTTCAAGAAATAGAGTTAAGAAAATATTTACTAAATAAACTAAATAAAATAAAGTACAAAATAAAATAAATAGTAACACAATAAAATAACAATAACGAGGCTATATACAGGGGGTACCCGTATCGAGTCAATGTGCGGGGGTACAGGTTAGTCGAGGTAATTTGTACATGTAGGTAGGGGTAAAGTGACTATGCATTGATAATAATAAACAGCGAGTAGCAGCAGTGTAAAAACAAAGGGGGGTCAATGTAAATAGTCCGGGTGGCCATTTTATTAATTGTTCAGCATTCTTATGGTAGAAGCTGTTAAGGAGCCTTTTGGACCTAGACTTGGCGCTCCAGTACCGCTTGCTGTGCAGTAGCAGAGAGTACAGTCTATGACTTGGGTGACTGGAGTCTTTGACCATTTTTTCGGCCTTTCTCTGACACTGCCTAGTGTGTGTGTGTGTGTGTGTGTGTGTGTGTGTGGGTGTGGTGTGGGTGTGGGTGTGTGTGTGGACTAATGGACTGGGGTGTGTGTGTTGGGCCAGCGGCCACAGCCATGTAGCACTGGGGCGTTTGAATGTACAGAAAGATCCACATGGATCCACTGCACCCAGCTCTGAAGCTTTTCACGAAAATAACACTGCCTTCCCCTACTGCAGTACGATGCAGGCCTTGCTACTGTGCTGTGGGACATTTATAATGTAGGAGGAGAGCAGTGGAGTTGATTTACTGCATCAATTTAAGCATTGAAGATACTATAACATGTAACAGTAGTGTAACATTTAACAACAGCATTACTCAGGTCTGGGGATGTGTCAGATTCAGTGCACTGCAGATAAGAGCATTCAGGATGATTTATTAATGTGGTTTGATACAGTGTATAATGTTGTCCTGATATTACACTGTTATTACAGGATAGTGCCATATTTAACAGTGTTAAAAGGCAAGTGTTTAACAATAGTGTTAGTCAGTGTACATATCCAACCGTGTTAATCCAGTGGTCAGGTTGTGGTCCTGGTCTCGCCCTGTTTTGGGGTTAAATGGGTACTTCATGACCGCAGCTCTCCATGGTGATGGTCGAGGCTGAGCGCTCAGAGCGGTCAGATGGAGCGCTGAAACGCAGGTATGCCCGGAATGGCTGAGAGAGGGGGGGAAAGAGGAGAGGAAGAAAGGAGGATGCGGAGTGATGATTGGGCCTGTATCTCCACAGGTCGTTTGATGTAGGAGAGCTCTCTAGCCCAGGGGCAGGGGCAGGTGAGGGACAGAATGCCACGCAATAAAAATGGGCTGACTTAACAGCTATTCTTCTAACTGGCTTTGCTCTTTCTAAGTTGTCTTTAGTCAGGTTGTGTGTACCAGGACTATTACACCACTATTCTTTGTCGCATCATTTCATTGATTGTGACGTGTGTGTGTGTGTGTGTGACTTGTGTGTGTGTGACTTGTGTGTATGTGACGTGTGTGTATGTGATGTGTGTGTGTGTGTGTGTGTGACGTGTGTGTATGGTTTGTGCTTTTATAGTCGTTGGAAATCATAACAATTATTTCCTTGCTATGCAACACACCAACACACCTGTCTCTCTGGGGGGCTTGTTAGCTCTACCAGTGTGTCTGTGCCCTTCTGCATCCAGCTGAGGAGAAAATGCTTTATACGCTCTGGGAGGAGGGAGAGACAGAGAAACAGAGAGAGACAGAGAGAGGGAGAGGGAGAAGGAGAGATTCTGGTACAGAGAGGAGGAGAGAAGGCAAGAGTTACAGCCTGTTCCCAGATAGAGAAAGAAGGGAGGAGGAGGAGAGAGAAACTGTGGCCAGATTCCCAGTGTCTAAGTCCCCCTGGGGAGAGAGGGAGAGAAAAGAAGGGAGGGGTACTGATACAGACGAGGAAAGAAAGAAAGGAGCTAGATGGAGAGGTGTAGGAAGTGCGTGACACAGAGGAGGGGAGAGGTAAAAGAGGAAGACAAAGACGGCGAGGGAGAAGGGTAAATAAGCGGGGAGGGAAAGATGAAGACAGATAGAGAGAGAGAGAGAGAGAGAGAGAGAGAGAGAGAGAGAGAGAGAGAGAGAGAGAGAGAGAGAGAGAGAGAGAGGAATTGCTGGAGTGGGTGGCGTATCTCTCCATTTGGATGAGGGATTTTAATTTTGTTCCGCTGTGGGGATGAAGTGGTGTGAATCAACGTTTCCTTTCTCAATCGCCCACTCTTTCTACCTCTTAGAATAGGATGACGGTAGTCTGGTAACCCTAATGAAGCAAATGATACAGCGAGAGAGTGAGGGATGGCATGCTATCCATAGATTCCCATTGCTGGAAAGCACTGGGATGAAATACGATTCTCCACCCATTGAGCAGGAGTATTCATCACATTCATTAACGTTTTTTCAACAAATATGACATCGGGAACCAGACGTTTTTTATTCCCATAGATTCACCCTCTCTTTGGGTGGTGTGTATTATTCCCTGTGTGTGTGTATGTGTGTGTATGTGTGCGTGCGTGTATGAGTTATACCTCATCCTAACTCTCCTGTCTCCCTCTCTCTCCAGGCTGTGTGTGCAGTGGGAATGTTTGAGCTGCAGATCCGTCACTTCCAGAACCCCCATGGTGTGCTGCAGAGTGGGGAGTGCTGTGACCTCGAGGACACAGGGGAGCAGCACTGCTCTCTCACGGACCAGTGTGACACCTTCTTCAGGGCCTGCCTCAAGGAATACCAGGCCCGGGTCATCCCCACTGGAGCCTGCACCTTCGGTGTGGGCAGCACCACCGTCCTGGGGGGCAACACCCAATCCCTCCGTCATCGAGGGCACGACAGAGGAGGAGCAGGTGATGGCACTACAGGACACATTGTCATTCCCTTCAAATACGCCTGGCCGGTGAGTACAGAAGTGTAGCTACAATGTGGTTACCATGGTAACATGATACAGTTCAAGTAGGTACACACTCACAGGGACCTGTGACAGTGTTGACACTAGCCCTTAGCGTTCAGTCAAGCGGCTTTGCTACTATTTGCACAAACTAGTAGCAGTTTTCTACTTGTCTAAACATGGGCATTGGATGCTGAGATAATGCTCTTTCTCTCCGTCCTCTCACTTCCTCTCTCTCCTCCTAAACTCTTCCCTGTTGTGTTGTTGCATCATTAAGGTCTCTGATATCGCTCCTCTCTGTCTGACTTCGTGTATTGACTTTTCTGTGTCTGTATCAGACATGGAGTCCAGGCTGGTGGCTATGACTCTTCATTAAAGAGCAGGCCTATTAATCGCACATTAGACTCATCGATAATCCAATTCTATCTCTCTCCTCTTCAATCATCCACCCCCCTCTCCTGACCCAAACAAAACAGAAACAACAAATAAAAGTGAAGAGGAATTTTGATGCCTTGAGGTTGAGTGGAGGACTTGATGGGGGATAGAAAAGCCCTCTGACCAAAAACTGTCCAAGTCAGTTGGTTCTGGCTCACAGAGTTTGTGTATTGCTGCTGCTCACAAATATGTTGTTTTATTTGCCTGTTACTAAGCCCTGAGATGTTCGCTAGGGGGGTGAGGGAGGGCGGGCAGGCATCTGGAGGGGGATGAAAGCTTTTAGCTGGTGCAAGAGAGGGACACTAATGTTCTCAATGAGCAGAGTTCATCCCTCCATTTCCATCCTTTTACTCCTTCCATCCCTCCATCAGCGCCCATTAGAAGTAGTTCCCTGGCTTTTTACTGTAATTACTGTCTGTTTGTTTCCGAGTCATTTCGGGGCCAGAGCCACAGCGACTAGAATCCCTTTTAAAGGACTTGGCACACGTGGGACCACTGCTCCCAATTGTCTTCCTTCCAGAGATCGGAACAGTTGTTTGTTTCTTTGTTTACTGTGTCAATGAGGGCATTCTATTTCTTATTATGGTCTGGAATGCTTCATTTCTGACCTCTCCGTGAGGTTGAATGGTTATTCATAATGAAAGTATTATAATAATGGCCAATGAGAGCTGAGAATGTGGTTGTAATTATATTCATATTGCCTAGTAATACTATTTTTAATATTGTGCAAAGCCCTGGTGGAGATTTAGAGGCAGACTGGGAATAAGTCTGGTCATGCTCACCAGCCTGGCCTGGTATTGGAGTGCACAGGTCTGTGTATCCTAGCTTCAGGCGTCTGCGTTTATTTAACTCACATTGATCGCTATCTGTCCATTCACCTGTGGAAGTGTTTGTCTCACTAAGGTCATTATCTGTGTGTTTGTGTTTGTGTGTTTAAAAAAAAAAAAACACTGTCATTGTCTCTCCTCCATGTTGGGGAGGTGTGTGAGTGGCAGGTGTGAGTGTGAGAAATTTCTACGGAAGAAAGTCTATCTGGATCAGTTTCAGGGCCATGGGGCGGGCTGGGCTGCAGTGGAGAGGAGAGGGACACACAGAGGCAGCATGAATGCATTTCTATGGGGAGAGCTGCGGTTGAATGACTCACATTATCTGGCCGTCCCTGGGAGGTAGGGGGGAGGCCGGGGAAATAGGGGGGAGACGAGGGGAGGCTCAGGCAGTATTCTGATCCCTCTGCCCCAGGTGAGGGGATGAACAGGTGAGCACAGTCATTATGAGGAAAGGTGAGCTCCCTTTATCCTTCGCCCTCGCTCTTTCTCTCCACTAATCTATTCAGGGAAATGAGGGTGTGCGTGTGCATGTGTGTGTGTGCACACGTTTGTATTTGCTTGTGTTTTGGGTGTGAATAATCTGCATGTGTGTGTGTGTTTTTGTGAATGTGTATTATATTTCCCCATTGGCTCCCAGCCCGTCACTGTCTGATCATATGGACTGAAGGATTTGGCTGCAGTTTGACCCCAAGTCCAGGGACAGCTAGTGGCCTGGTCTGGGATGTTTTAGCTAAGGCGTTTCCATTGAGATATAAAAGATCAAAGCATTTAGAACCGTGAGGTCATTTCTCAAGTCTCACAGTCTCCTGTTGTTTCCACTCTCATATCTGATTGGCGGAAGGGGGGAATATGGGGATTGTCTTTTTTTGTCTAGTGGCAGAGGAAACTTACACAGTTTATGAATGAATGGATGGAGTGAATAGGTGGTGCACCAGAAGGAGTAGCCAGGTAGCACTTAGACAAAGGTGCATTGTAATCTCTCTAAAGTCTTGTTCCTCTCAAAGATCAGAATCCTATAGCATCACTACTCTAGATCTGCTGTGCTTAACTTGAACTTCCGGGCTCCCATTGACATCAATGTACAGTATGATTTACACTAAACTGTTTAAGTGTCCTGCTTTGCTTTCTCCTCTAACAACGTTTTCCATCGTGCTGTTGTTGCCTTGGGCTAGCTTCAGAGGAAGGGTTTGGGCTTAGTCTTTTGTTAAGAGTCCTGTGACAAATGACTTTGTGATAGGCACTAAACAAATACCATTAAAGAGAACTGAATGGGCTGTGGTCCTCATCTCCTGATCGTAGGTCAGTCATTCATAATCTTGACCTCAAGTGTAAAGCCCCTAAATCTGATCCTAGGTCAGGTTCACTGCTAGAGGGAGAGAGCTCTCAACTGGTGGGACTCACGTTCAGCTGACAGTGTGTGTGTGTGTGTGTGTTTGTGTGTGTGTGTGTGTGTGTGTGTGCATGCATGCGTGTTTGTGCATGCGTGCGTGTGTGTGTATGTGTGTGTGTGTGCGGTATGTGTGTTTTGGTAAAGATATCCTTTAATTTTCACTCTCTTTCTTTATTTTCTTTCATCATTCACCACTTGCCTTAGTTGTTCTTAAAGGTTATTTAAAAAGACATGCTTGTACAGTATTCTCTTGTGTTGTATGTTCAGGTTGTAGAGTAAAAAAACTTAAATGCCACCCATACAGTACTGTTTATAAGACTAACCTTGTGAATATGGGCCAGTCTTGTGAGGGCAGTAGTACTAGGAACCGTCAGCAGTCAAAGAGAAGTGTGTCTCATAATTCCCAAACTAGGGTTCTCATGGTTGTCACTAGATGGCCATGCTAGAGAGGACAAAAGAGGCAATATCCACAGAACTGTTGAGGAAGGACCACTATTTGTTCTCTACCTAGGAGTGAGAAAGGTAAGGGCTAAGGCTTAGTGAGAGTTAGTGATTAAAACTTCAAAATAAATCACATTTTTGATTAGAACGCATCATACTTCCGTCTTCTCTAGCATGACCTTACTGACCTCTGTTCTCTCTGCGACAACTGGGTTTCCAGGAACAACTGAAAGGGCCCTGCTTTCAAACATGCAAAGTAGAGGAATTATGCAAATGTATTTCAGCCAGTACTCTCCTGTGTTCTGGGTTGGGTCTAATATGCTCTACTACACACAGACGCATCCTTGCACGCACACACACACACACACACACACACACACACACACACACACACACACACACACACACACACACACACACACACACACACACACACACTGTGGGTTTACCTGTACATTCTTGTTGTGTGGGAGTCAGGCTGGCCCAGTCACCAGGGGATATGGGAGGAGAGAGGAGGACCAGAGCGGCACCAGTTTAGAACATTCTGTTCATTGGGTCTCTCCTTCTTTAAATACGATCTTTCTCTACTCACTCCTTTGTGGTTTTTTTTCCTCTTTTTTTGTCCATGATAAACCCGCTCCCCCAACAAACTCACGCGTGGGGCTGAAATTGGACCAAAACACACACCCCCTAAAACCCCCACACACTAAAACCAAAAAACACACAAAAATCCCCCTTCGCCCTTCAAAATTCCCATATATTTTTTTTCTTAGGCCCCAAAAAGGAAACAGGGGGGGCGCGGGGCACCACAAATCGACTGACACCCCCTTTTACCTTTAAAATTAGCACCCATGTCACACACAACCCAACTTTTTATAAACAAAACACCAAAAAAATTTAAATTTCCCATGGGGAAATTGAATTTTTGGGTTTTTTTTAAGAGATAAAATTCATAGGGCGGGGGGAAACACAAGTCTCTTAGGGGGCACCCTTTTTAAGGTTTCATTTGTTTTGGGGCAAATTGGATTAAAAGGGAGAGTTTCTATTTTAGGAGGGGAAGAAAGATTTTAAAAAAAAACATTTTCAACCCTTGGAGACCCTTGTGGGGAAAAACCTTTTGGTTTGGGGGAGGGGGGTGGGGGTTGTGTGTGGGGGGGGTTGGCTTTTTTTTTTTCTTGGTTTCTTGAATGGTGTTTAAAAAAGGGTTCCCAAGGGGGGGCACACGGTTTAAAAGTAGTTGGGGGTTTGAAATTAAAAAAGTTATTGACCCCCCTTCCCCCAGCTCCCTCCCCCAGGCCCTAAAAAAAAAAAAAGGAAGAAATTTTGGGGGTTTTGTTTAAAGGTTTCCCGAACCCCGTAGGAAAGGGAAAGGGGCCCCCAACCACCCCCCAGAAAAACCCCACCCCAAACCTTTTTTTGGGAAAAAAAAACAAAAAATTTAAAAAAGGGAAAAGGGGAAAAGGGGAAAAAAAAAAAAAATAGTAAAAAACGGGAAATGGGAAAAGGGGCCCCAAGCAAGAAAAAAAAAGAGAAAGGGAGAAAAGGGGGAAAAAGAGAGAGGAGAAAAGGAAAAAAAAGGAAAAAAGGAGAGAGAGAAAAGGGAGAGAGGGGAGAGAGAGAAGGAGAGAGAGAGAGGGGAAGAGAGAAGAGAAAAAAGGAAAAAAAGGGGGGCAAAAGGGAGGAGAAACAGAGAAGGAGAAGGGAGAGGAAAAAGAAGAAAAAAGGGAAAGGAGGGGAGGCGAGAGAGAGAAGGAAAGAGGGGAGAAAAGAGAGAAAAAGGGGGAGAGAAGGGGAAAAAAGGGAGAAAAAGGAGGAAAAGATGAAGAAAAAGGGAAGGGGAGAGGGAAAAGAAAATAGAAAAGAAAAGGAGAAGGGGGAGAAAGAAAAAAGGAAAAAAAGAGGAGAAAAGAAAAAGAAAAAAGAGAAAGGGAAGGAGAGAGAAGAGAGAAGAGAGAGAGAGGAGAAAAGGGAAGGGGGGGGCAGAAGAGAACACGGGAGGAGAGAGAAAGAGAAAGAAAAAGGGCCAAATCGGGTCTTATTCTAAGTTTCCTTTGCTCCCTTCTCTTACCCCACTTCTTTTGCTCTCGCAAAAGGTTCCTCTCTCTGCTCTCTCTACTCTCTTTCTATCTCTCTCTCTCTCTCTCTCGCTCTCTCTCTCTACTATCTCATCTTCTCTCTCTCTCTTTTTTCTAAACTGTTCTCCTGATATGATTAAAAATACCTTCAAATTAAAGCTGACAATCTGCACTTTAACCTCATAGTCATTGCATCATTTCAAATCCAAAGTGCTGGAGTACAGATCCAAAACAGCAAAAAAGATGTCACTGTCCCAATACCTTTGGGACTCACTGTAGTTTCCTTTGCGGTGGGAATTAGATATAGCAGACACACACACACACACTCTTCGGTAGTCCATCGTATCCGATGATGACTTCCACTTCTGAGTTAACGGTGAATTCTTTGGTGATTGTAGAGTCCAATCCGAGATCCACAAACTTTATTGCAGGTGGGGCATATGCAGTCTGTGTTGGCAGGGGCAGGCATGGTTGTATGTCTCCTGAGCTGTTTTTGCTGTCTCTTTGTGCTCCTCTCCTCCTCCCACCTCTGTACACCGCTCTGGCAGAGCTGCCGCCAGGTGGAATGGTCGGCAGCAGCGTCCTCCAGGTCTGTGTGTTTGATGTTGCACTTCTTCAGCGATGTTTTCAGCTGGTCCTTGTAGCGCTTCATCTGCCCCCCTGCAGACTGCCGGCCAAGATGTAGCTGGCCATACAGGATCTTCCACGGCAAGCGTTCCTGAGACATCCTAATGACATGCCCAAGACAGCGTAGTTGGTGTTGGGTGACCATGGCATCCATACTCTTGCAGTTGGTCTTAGCAAGTATTTCTGTATGGGGCACATGGTCTCACCAGGTAATTCCCAGGATGTGCTGCAGGCATCCTATGTGGAATCACTCTAGCTGCTTGTTGTGGCGGCTGTAAGTGACCCAGGCTTAACTGCTGTAAAGAAGTGTGGTGATGCAGACGGCTTGATAGACGGCGACTTTGGTGTGGAGGTGGAGATCCCAAAGGCAGCTGATGCTTGCTTGATCCTATTTTGAATTTCGAAGTCGATGCTGCAGTCCTCCGAGAGGATGCTGCCCAGGTATTTGAAGGACAGGACTATTGCCAGTGATTTGTGTACAATGGTGAAGACAGGCATGGTGGGTGGAGGGCTGGATCTCCATTGGCAGACCACCTCTGTCTTGGTGGTGTTGATAGACAGTCCCATCCTGCTATAGACCCTCACAGCTGCTACAAGGACGGACTGAAGGTCTTCCGGAGTGTGGGCCACAAGAGCACAGTCATCAGCATACTGCAGCTCAAGAACCCGCTCCGTCAAAACCTTGGTGGTTGCTTGGAGCCTCCTGATGTTGAATAGGTTTCCATCCAGCCTGAAGTCCACCGCAACCCTGCTGCTGTCCTCAAGTGGCTCTCACAGACCTGTTAGTTATTCTTTAAGAAGCCCTCCTGTTCTCCACTCATTACCTGTATTAACCGCACCTGTTTTAACTCATTACCTGTATAAAAGACACCTGTCCACACACTCAATCAAACAGACTCCAACCTCTCCACAATGGCCAAGACCAGAGAGCTGTGTAAGGACATCAGGGATAAAATTGTAGACCTGCACAAGGCTGGGATGGGCTACAGGACAATAGGCAAGCAGCTTGGTGAGAAGGCAACAACTGTTGTTCAAGATGACGGTCAATCACCCTCGGTCTGGGGCTCCATGCAAGATCTCACCTCGTGGGGCATCAATGATCATGAGGAAGGTGAGGGATCAGCCCAGAACTACACGGCAGGACCTGGTCAATGACCTGAAGAGAGCTGGGACCACAGTCTCAAAGAAAACCATTATTAACACACTACGCCGTCATGGATTAAAATCCTGCAGCGCACGCAAGGTCCCCCTGCTCAAGCCAGCGCATGTCCAGGCCCGTCTGAAGTTTGCCAATGACCATCTGGATGATCCAGAGGAGGAATGGGAGAAGGTCATGTGGTCTGATGAGACAAAAATAGAGCTTTTTGGTCTAAACTCCACTCGCTGTGTTTGGAGGAAGAAGAAGGATGAGTACAACCCCAAGAACACCATCCCAACCGTGAAGCATGGAGGTGGAAACATCATTCTTTGGGGATGCTTTTCTGCAAAGGGGACAGGACGACTGCACCGTATTGAGGGGAGGATGGATGGGGCCATGTATCGCGAGATCTTGGCCAACAACCTCCTTCCCTCAGTAAGAGCATTGAAGATGGGTCGTGGCTGGGTCTTCCAGCATGACAACGACCCGAAACACACAGCCAGGGCAACTAAGGAGTGGCTCCGTAAGAAGCATCTCAAGGTCCTGGAGTGGCCTAGCCAGTCTCCATACCTGAACCCAATAGAAAATCTTTGGAGGGAGCTGAAAGTCCGTATTGCCCAGCGACAGCCCCGAAACCTGAAGGATCTGGAGAAGGTCTGTATGGAGGAGTGGGCCAAAATCCCTGCTGCAATGTGTGCAAACCTGGTCAAGACCTACAGGAAACATATTATCTCTGTAATTGCAAACAAAGGTTTCTGTACCAAATATTAAGTTCTGCTTTTCTGATGTATCAAATACTTATGTCATGCAATAAAATGCAAATTGTTACTTAAAAATCATACAATGTGATTTTCTGGATTTTTAGATTCCGTCTCTCACAGTTGAAATATACCTATGATAAAAATTACAGACCTCTACATGCTTTGTAAGTAGGAAAACCTGCAAAAACGGCAGTGTATCAAATACTTGTTCTCCCCACTATATATACAGGGGGGTACCGGTGCAGAGTCAATGTACGGGGGCACCGGCTAGTTGAGGTAGTTGAGGTAATATGTACATGTGGGTAGAGTTAAAGTGACTATGCATAAATAATTAACAGAGTAGCAGCAGTATAAAAAGATGGGGTGGGGGGGCAGTGCAAATAGTTCGGGTAGCCATGATTAGCTGTTCAGGAGTCTTATGGCTTGGGGGTAGAAGCTGTTGAGAAGTCTTTTGGACCTAGACTTGGCACTCCGGTACTGCTTGCCGTGCGGTAGCAGAGAGAACAGTCTATGACTAGGGTGGCTGGAGTCTTTGACAATTCTGAGGGCCTTCCTCTGACACCGCCTGGTATAGAGGTCCTGGATGGCAGGAAGCTTGGCCCCAGTGATGTACTGGGCCGTACGCACTACCCTCTGTAGTGCCTTGCGGTCGGAGGCCGAGCAGTTGCCATACCAGGCAGTGATGCAACCAGTCAGGATGCTCTCGATGGTCAAGCTTTATAATTTTTTGAGGATCTGAGGACCCATGCCAAATCTTTTCAGTCTCCTGAGGGGGAATAGGCTTTGTCGTGCCCTCTTCACGACTGTCTTGGTGTGTTTGGACCATGATAGTTCGTTGGTGATGTGGACACCAAGGAACTTGAAGCTCTCAACCTGTTCCACTACAGCCCCGTCGATGAGAATGGGGGTGTGCTCAGTCCTCTTTTTTGTCCTGTAGTCCACAATCATCTAATTTGTCTTGGTCACGTTGAGGGAGAGGTTGTTATCCTGGCACCACACGGCCAGGTCTCTGACCTCCTCCCTATAGGCTGTCTCATCGTTGTCGGTGATCAGGCCTACCACTGTTGTGTCGTCGGCAAACTTGATGATGGTGTTGGAATCGGGCCTGGCCATGCAGTCATGGGTGAACAGGGAGTACAGGAGGGGACTGAGCATGCACCCCTGAGGGGCCCCCGTGTTGAGGATCAGTGTGGCAGATGTGTTATTACCTACCCTTACCACCTGGGGGTGGCCCGTCAGGAAGTCCAGGATTCAGTTGCAGAGGGAGGTGTTTAGTCCCAGGATCCTTAGCTTAGTGATGAGCTTTGAGGGCACTATGGTGTTGAATGCTGAGCTGTAGTCAATGAATAGCATTCTCACGTAGGTGTTCCTCTTGTCCAGGTGGGAAAGGGGAGTGTGGAGTGCAATAGAGATTGCGTCATCTGTGGATCTGTTGGGGTGGTATGCAAATTGGAGTGGGTCTAGGGTTTCTGGGATAATGGTGTTGATGTGAGCCATGACCAGCCTTTCAAAGCACTTCATGGCTACAGACGTGAGTGCTACGGGTCGGTAGTCATTTAGGCAGGTTATCTTAGTGTCCTTGGGCACAGGGATTATGGTGGTCTGCTTGAAACATGTTGGTATTACAGACTCAGTCAGGGACATGTTGAAAATGTCAGTGAAGACACTTGCCAGTTGGTCAGCACATGCTCGGAGTACATGTCCTGGTAATCCGTCTGGCCCTGCGGCCTTGTGAATGTTGACCTGCTTAAAAGTCTTACTCACATTGGCTACGGAGAGCGTGATCACATAGTCATGCGGAACAGCTGGTGCTCTCATGCATGCTTCAGTGTTGCTTGCCTCGAAGCAAGCATAGAAGTGGTTTAGCTCGTCTGGAAGTCTTGTGTCACTGGGCAGCTTGCGGCTGTGCTCATGTCGACCGAACTCCAGTTCTTTCTGATGCTGCATTGTGACTCTGGCAGCAGTTCCTCTGTGATGTTGTTCACCTGCCTGTGTAGCATCACTTTGGCCAGGACCTTGCTGGCAACAGCCAGGAGGTATATCCCCCAGCTGTTGCCGCAGATGGACTTATATATGGTGACAATGTTTGCATCCCGCCACTGTTGGGGGACGATCTCCCGGTCCCAAACCTCAGTGATGTACTGGTGGAGCGTTCTGGTGCAGAAGTAACCTCCCTTCTTAAGTAGCTCTGCTGGGATGCTGTCAGCGCCAGGAGCCTTTTTGTTCTTGAGGGAACGGATAGCTGATAACACCTCTTGGAAGGTTGGCGAATGGTGGAGGTCTTGAATGGGTGGACGGACAGGCAGTTCCTCCAGGATGGAGTGGTCTGTAGGAGAGTGCTGATTGAGAAGTGGTCAGCCCATCTCATCAGGATCTGGTTTTGGTCCTTCAAAAGAGTCAGACCATCAGCTGTTTTCAGGGGGGTGATGGAGCGACTTCTAGGGCCATAGATAGCTTTAGTTGAGTTGTAGAAATTGTGCATGTCATTTTTTTGGCATAAACACACACACACACACACACCCATCCCTATACCTACTTTCTCACTCGCCGTGCCTCACACTAAACACACAAGTGTGGATGTTTAGCAGCCAGTGACCAGACGAGGTAATTTCCTGCGGAAGCTGGAGGGGGCGTCTCGCTGTGGGCTGGGGAGGCGAGGCGAGAGGGACGCGATGGGGGGAGATGAGGCTAGAGAGAGGGGGAGTCAGGGAGGGAACATGCCATGCTGCGAGGGCTCTGTTGTTTCAGAGCGTTTGAAGTAGCCTGGAATCACATACCTTTGTCAAGCCAATTAACCCGGTAAGAATGTGACTCAAAGAGAGAGAGAGAGGAGGAGAGGTGGAATGGGGGGATGAAGAGTATGATACTAATCATGTCCTGAATGAAAGAAAAACAAAAAGATGGAGAGCATAAAGGAACAGAGGAGGTAATTATAGGGACGGGATCACAGGGTGGGGTGGATGCGTACACCCAGGGGCTAGTCCATGTCTGTTCTAGGTTTCAGGTTTTCAAATGGCACCCTACTTTCCGTGTGTAGTGCACTGCGTTTGACCAGGATCCATAGGGTATAGTGCACTAAGTTTGACCAGGATCCATAGGGTATAGTGCACTACGTTTGACCAGCATCCATAGGGTATAGTGCACTACGTTTGACCAGGATCCATAGGGTATAGTGCACTACGTTTGACCAGGATCCATAGGGTATAGTGCACTACGTTTGACCAGGATCCATAGGGTATAGTGCACTACGTTTGACCAGGATCCATAGGGTATAGTGCACTACGTTTGACCAGGATCCATAGGGTATAGTGCACTACGTTTGACCAGGATCCATAGGGTATAGTGCACTACGTTTGACCAGGATCCATAGGGTATAGTGCACTACGTTTGACCAGGATCCATAGGGTATAGTGCACTACGTTTGACCAGGATCCATAGGGTATAGTGCACTACGTTTGACCAGGATCCATAGGGTATAGTGCACTACGTTTGACCAGGATCCATAGGGTATAGTGCACTATATAGAGAATAGGGATAGGCCCACTGTTACTGTGATTCCATTTGGGTGTTGCTGGGGTAGTGCAAGCCATCCTATCCAGCTTCAAGCACCGCTGTCATGACAACACTGTCACTGAGGGGACATGTGTGGATGTGTGTGTGTGTGTGTGTTAGTGTGTGTCTATAATTACAGTTGGGCTATTGATACTTCAGGAGAGTGGTGCCATCTGTATGAGAGAGGGGTTATGATAGTAATGGGCCTGGTAGCAGAATGATTGGTTTGCTGCTCATGTAGAATGTAGAAAATGGGGTGATGGAGAGAGAGAGAGAGAGAGAATACTGTTATAGTCAATAGTTTTGACTATCATATTTCTCATGTGCACTTTTGTATGTTTTTGTGTGTGTGTGTATATACGTGTGTGTGTGGAGGGGAAATTCCTCTCTCAGGGCTGGGAGTCCTTCCTGTCGTAGAGCTGTGTTTGTACAGCCTGGCTCAGCCGGGATATCCTACCCTGCCCATGTCTGAGGGCTCAGAGATAGGTGGGGAGTGACGGGAGGGGGGGAGGTCATAGTGCCCATTAGAAATGGAGTGAGGGGGATAAACGAGACAACAGAGAGAGAGACAGAAAGAGAGACTGCCTATCAGGGAGAAATGGAGAGAGAGGGGCACACCTGGCTCCATGAGCTTTGAGGGAAAGGAATGTGGAGGTGTAGGATTGTGGGCATACATGGGCATCTGTCTGGGCATAATTAACTCAGGCCTAGTTTTATTTATGGTAGACTGGAGGGGAAGGGAGGGAGAAACAATCAGACAGTTTCCAGCGATTTATGGCTGTTTAATTTCCTTGTTGTTATTGCGTCTTGTTTTGGGAACTCCCTCTGGTTCTCTCTCCATGCTAACACAGCCTGCTAAGAAGAGTGGTCAATGAGGACATAGCATGAGAGACCTGGAACTGTGGAGCTGTGGTATGGCCAAATGGAAAAAGGCCCCATCCTCCTTCCAGCCCACAGCAACAACATCAACCCCAGACTTGTTGTGGATGGAGAGGTTACGAGGGGTAAAATTAGCTAATTGCTCCCAGAACAGTGGTTTAAGAGAAGATTAAATAAATGACCGTTCTGCAAGAGATGATAGACATTCCATGGATGTTTTCCAGAGTGTTGTAAAGCACACTGTATTACTTATACAACTAATATAAGGACAGGACATGAGACCGGAGTAGAAATTAACGTGGGCATTGTTTTAATGCATTTCACAGGAAGAACATTCCAAGGGGGGGGGGGGGGGGGTTACAGGTGCCCTAAAGGGACAAAACTAGAATATCAATACACAACACAGAGGAAATAGTAGAGTTAGGAAAGCCCAGTTGAGTGTCCTCTTGAACAAATTATCTTAAATTAAGTGTTTTAATGGTTTCTTCCAGCCTCTCAACTCACTGCCATGATACACTTTGAGCCCACTCCTCAGCTCTACATGACACACACGGTAACACGCACATACTCACAGTGAACTATGAAATTTCAATGGTAAACGGCCTGAGTGAACTATCTTAATTTATCCACCATCTTTGGCCATAGGAGCAAAGCAGGAAGTAAAAGCATGAAGTAAAAGCAGGAAAAGTACCCATCAATATGTGCTGTGATTTGTTGATTCAACTCAACTGACATTACAAAAAAAACATTCCATTGCATGTGCCACATCAGTTAACATAATTTGAATGAACATTCTACATTTCAGCAAGGAGCAACAAAGTTTCATCACATTGTTAAGAGTCCATGTTACCGCTGAAATGGACTCAACCACACAAATGCCCCGCTGTTCCGTCTTCAGTATATACAGTCTCTGAATGTCCTTGAGTGGCCCAGCCAGAGCCCGTTCTTGAACCTGATCGAACATCTCTGGAGAGACCTGAAAATATCTGTGCAGCGACGCTCCCCATCCAACCTGACAGAGCTTGAGAGGATCTGCAGAGAAAAATGGGAGAAACTCCCCAAATACAGATGTGCCAAGCTTGTAGCGTCATACCCAAGAATACTTGAGGCTGTAATCGCTGCCAAAGGTGCTTCAACAAAGTACTGAGTAAAGGGTCTGAATACTTATGTAAATGTGATATTTCTGTTTTTAATTTGTAATACATTTGTAAACATTTCTAAAAACCTGTTTTTGCTTTGTCATTATGGGGTATTGTGTGTAGATTGTTGAGGAAAATTGTTAATTTAATCAATTTTAGAATAAGGCTGTAACGTAACAAAATGTGGAAAAAAGTGTATATATATAAACATAATTATTGGGACAGTGAAGCATTTTTTCAGCTTTTGGCTCTATACTCAAAAGGTTTGGATTTGAAATCAATGACTATGAGGTTGAAGTCCAGACTGCTTTAATTTGAGGGTATCTTTATCCATATCGGGTGAACAGTTTAGAAATTACAGCACTTTTTGTCCATAGTCCCCCCATTATAGGGGACCAAAAGTATTGGAACAAATTCACTTTAAGTAGTAAAAAGTTAAGTATTTGGTCCCATATTCATAGGATGCAATGACTATATCAAGCTTGTGACTCTACATTTGTTGGACACTTTTGTTGTGTTTTGGTTGTGTTTCAGATTATTTTGTGCCCAATAGAAATGAATGGTAAATAATGTATTGTCATTTTGGAGTCACTTTTATTGTAAATAAGAATAGAATATGTTTCTAAACACTTCTACAGTAATGTGGATGCTACCATGATTACGGATAATCCTGGATTAATTGTGAATAATGATGAGTGAGAAAGTTACAGATGCACAAATATCATACCCCCAAGACATGCAAAGCTTTCACCATTACAATAACAGGGGGAGGTTAGCGGTAATGCCGGTTATTTTATGTTCATGACGGTCTTCATCCATAACCATCGTTTACACGGTTATACAGTAATTGTGCCAGTCCTATATAGCAGCACTGATGTGATATGCCAAGCTAGGCTACCCCAAAGGAGCCATGTTACCCATATCTACGGAGCATTCTGCCAACTCTGCCAGGCCCTTAAGGGCAGGGAGGAGGTTAGCATTTTTCCTCTTTCCCAGGTCATATATTTAATAGTGTCTCAGAGTAGGAGTGCTGATCTGATCAGTTTTGCCTTTTAGATCATAACAAATAATATTATATGAGCAGATCCTAGATCAGCATGGGCCCAAGTATGCTTGCATGATACGACAGAGTGGGGTGAACCATTAGGAATTCAGTACCTTAAAACAGCAGCAATACAGAGAGAGACACACAGATATAGAGACACAGAGAGAGAGAGAGAGAGAGAGAGAGAGAGAGAGAGAGTACTGTAAAGACTACTACATCTGGATACAACAGGGCCTGTACAGAAGACAGGGACAAACAGCGGACATCTTACGGCTTTGGATTGACAAAGATACCCGACTCAGGGGAGATAAGGAGGACAGGGTTTTTCCTTTCCTTTTTTTTTCACTCATTCTGTCTTTGGTATAGATCAGCAATGAATAATTCAGACCCATGTCCCCCCTTTCTCCCTCCTCTCGCTCTCTCTCTCCGAAACACCCCAGCGGCTGCCATGCAAATCACCCTGCCATGCATTGTGGGTAGGGTGTCCTCCTAAAGGGCTGCATGGATGTGCAGTCACGACTCTGCTCTAAGGGCCCACCGCCGAGTGGATGAGTGGAGCGAGGGGGGGAGAGATGGAGAGGTGGATGATGGAAGGTGAGTTTAGATGGAAGAAAAGGGGGCGGAATATAAGATACAAGATAGTAAGTGAGCGGAGAGCAAATTATATGTAGAAGAATGACAGGAGGGATGGATGGAGGAGGGAGCAGGTGTAAAAATGTGTAGAGGGTAGTTTATTAGAGGTTGGAAAAGACATTCAGGAGTGTGGAGGGAAGGATGAAGGGAGGGGAAGGTGCACTGGAGTGTAGTTGCTGAGGGTGTGTGTGTGTGTGTGTGTGTGTGTGTGTGTGCGTTCATGCATGCGTGTGTGTGTGACCTGAGGTGAGGAAGGACAGAGAAGATGAGAGGTTGGGCATTGAATAAATAGGAAGGTGAGTTTTAGACCAACCATAGAGACATTCAGTAGAACACACTGGGAAGCAAGGGAGAATACAGATATAGGATGAAGAGAAAGGGGGGATGGAATTCTAGGATAGAAGAGGAAAAGAGCATGGAAATGTGTGACAAAGTGAGGAGTGAGGTCAGGAGATTTTTAGATAAAGAAAGTGTATAGAAGAAAGTGTAGAACAATAGATCACAGCATAAAGGAGAGGTAAATAAGAGGTGGGGAGGAAGAGGTGAGGGAAGGTGAGGATGTGTAGAGTGGCGCAGTGGTCTAAGGCACTGCATCGCAGTGCTAGCTGTGCCACTAGAGATCCTGGTTCGAATCCAGGCTCTGTCGTAGCCGGCCGCGACCGGGAGACCCATGGGGCGGCGCACAATTGGCCCAGCGTTGTCCAGGGTAGGGGAGGGAATGGCCCGGCAGGGATGTAGCTCAGTTGGTAGAGCATGGCGTTTGCAACGCCAGGGTTGTGGGTTTGATTCCCACAGGGGGCCAGTATGAAAAATAAAAAATAATGTATGCACTCACTAACTGTAAGTCGCTCTGGATAAGAGCGTCTGCTAAATGACTAAAATGTAAATGTAAAAATGAGAGCAGTGCCAAGACACACACACACACAGCAGATTAGAGAAGGGAAGTGAGACATCCCTCAGTCTACCTGAGTGTTCTTCACTCCACTATCTTACCTATGGTGTTAACAATCCAACCCCATTAGCACACTCACACACACACACAGTGGTAGCCCGCATCAGTCAGAGTGCTAATGAGAGCCATTGACACCTCCCAGAGTGCAAGCAGGATGTTTGTGGCTCAGGATGATGGACCCATTTGGAAGAATTGATGTTTATCATATCATCTCTCAGAACATTGGAAAATCGTTATAGACTAGCGCGTGGACAGTGACAAATTAGAATTTAAGAACAGTGACCGTTCTACCTATTCTATTTCTATGGGGGAGGGGACTAGGGAGGGGTGATTATGGGCAGAAGTCATCATTGGTTTGGACATCCTGTCGCAAGACTTCTGGGTAGGAAATTACACAGTGTCCAATACACACACACGGTTACACACACTGTTACCTCAGTGTTGGCCTACGCCTAGGCTACTAGCTGAGGACACCTTCCTCATCCACTTTCTCTCCTCATCTCTCTCTCAATTCAAATAAATTCTAAGGGTTTTATTGGCATGGGAAACATATTTTTACATTGCCAAATCAAGTGAAATAGATAATAAACAAAAGTGAAATAAACTATCAGAAATTAACAGTAAACATTACACCCCATAATAAGTATATAGGTTTTAGGTTGAGAGCTTTTGTGAAAGAACACAGTTAGAATGATATGGCATATAGAAGCAAACCAGATGGACATCATGAAAATGATCGGAGAGGTTGAGGGTAGAGGAAGTTCAGGAGTAAAAACAAACTAAATAGAATTATTGTAAAATTGACTGTGTCCATAAAAATGTATATAGTATGTATAAGCTGTTTCCCACGGGGGGCCAGTATGAAAAATGTATGCACTCACTAACTGTAAGTCGCTCTGGATAAGAGCGTCTGCTAAATGACTAAAATGTAAATGTAAATGTAAGCTGGAAGTAGAGGCCTAATCATTGTTGTTCACTAGTTTACTCCAATTAGGGAAGGGGTGGTGGGGTTGGAAAGTAATAAAGGGAAATATATTTTTAAAAAGGATATGTATGTGTGTGTATGTATGTATGTATGTATGTGTATATATATATATACTGTAGTCCCGTGTAGCTCAGTTGGTAGAGCATGGCATTTGCAACGCCAGGGTTGTGGGTTCGATTCCCACAGGGGGCCAGTATGAAAAAAAAAAACATGTCGCTCTGGATAAGAGCGTCTGCTAAATATATATATTTGCGAGAGAAAAAAAACATATGGGGGATTGGAAGTGATGCAGACAATTACATTGACGGAAGTTACAATCTATCTGCAATATTAAAGCTGATCTACCCCCTAAAAAAATGACAAAAAAACAACAACATTACACTCACAAAAGTTCCAAATGAATAGAGACATTTCAAATGCCATATTATCTCTCTCCCTCTGTTCTCCAACCGCTGCCCCACCCATCCCCCGTTCTCCCCCCACACTGTACCTGCTACCATGCCAGCAGCAGGCTACGACACACATATCCATGCAGAGCCCAGGTCACACACACACAGCCAGGTGACACACGCACTCAGGAAGGGTGTACCTGTGACCAGACCTTTTGCTAAGGCTGGGGTCACACCCCGGGGACCAGAGTAACCATTGTTACTCATCATGACATCTGTACACTGTCATTTCTTTCATTTTGTGCAATATTTTAGTCCTGCTATTATATTCATTGTTCTTTATGTCTGTCATTCCATGTGAAAGGACCCATGAGCACCAACATGTGAAGTTCATAGGAGCATGTCAAATTGGGTGTCAAATTAAAGCTAAGAGTATATATTTTTAAGGCATATATATTTTCAACCATTTTTCATCCTAAAAATAAGGAATAAGCAAAAGCTTTAATTTCTGTTCAAACAGATGGAAAAGGGGTTTTAGAAAACATCTACCAGAAAAAGCGAGGTAGCTTAGTGGTTTAAGAGCGTGTGCAGTAACCGAAGGTCGCTGGTTCTAATCCCCGAGCCGACTAGGTGAAAAATCTGTCGAGTGCCTTAAGCAAGGCACTTACCCTAATTGCTCATGTAAGTCGCTCTGGATAAGAGGTCTGCTAAATGACTAAAATGTAATGTAAAGTAAAAGTTTTTAAAGGTATTAGAAATATCAAAACCACAGTTGGGTTGACAAGTTTGGACAGCACAGTACAGCACACAATGGAGTACAGTAAAGAAAAGTAGAGTACAGTTCAGTGTAGAGCACACTAGAGTTGAGTACACTATAATGAACTGTACTCTACATTTTTGCCATTTAGCAGATGTTTTTATCCAGAGCGACTTACAGGAGTAATTAGGGTTAAGTGCCTTGCTCAAGGGCACAGCGACAGATTTCACCTAGTCAGCCTGGGGATTCGAAGCAGCAACCTTTCAGTTACTGGCCCAACCTCTTAACCGCTAGGCTACCACCCAGCCCACTCTACTCTACTCTACTCTACTCTTCTGTACTTTGATGTCCAACATGTGAATTATAGACATCAATGTTTGGTTTAGATTTGGTCCTGTCTGGACCAACCAAATTTGGGCTTGTTTTGGGGCAGAGCTCATTAAAATAATATTCAGTGTGTAGAATAATAACCAAATATGCAAAGGAGGATATTGCATATTTATACCTTTGTGTACCTATTTAGAATACATCTCCATGAAGATAATGACATTCATATCCATACTTTTTCATTTCTGTGTAGTACAGATCAGGGACCCATGATGAAATTCTGTAACCGTAATTCCGTTACCATGGATGTAAATCCACTTCACCTACTGTAGTACAATAACCAAAAAGCGATTTTTTTCAAAGTCAATGTGCCATGTCATAGCTGACCCCACACCGTGGAATTGCCCAATTGTTTGATGTTGAAGGTCTTGGGACTACATTTTTGTATGAACTGTGCTATAAAGATCATCGTATCGCATTACTTTCCAATAATGCTATACTACAAAACAGATACACAGTCCAACACACTTCAAAATGTAATCTATCAGTAATGCAATAAACACAGATATGCAAATCAGATGCACAGAAGCATACCAACATTTTAACACACAACAATAGGACAAATATAAGCACCCACCAAATCATTATTATTATTATTATTATTATTATTATTATTATACCACAATAGTCTGCTATTAAATACATACTGCAAATACACACACCCCTAGCACCCACACACTCTGTCACACACTGACAGAAACATACAAACAAACTTGCTTTGACACACAATGTTTCCTTGTTACTCAACCCTGCAGTTCCACCAAAACAGACTGGTTCCACTCTATCTCTTACAAGTCAGGTTAAAAATACACAGATACGTTGCTAAGGTTGCTAAGTAAAAAAACAGGCCTGAGTGAGTACACGGTGTGTGTGTGCGCATGCGTATTTGTGCGTCCGTAATTCCGATTAAGACATTAATGAGTGAGCTAGGACGGATGTAGTCAATATAACTATTTGTTCAGCACTTTTGAAATGTACAGCGACAGAATTCAGAATATGGGACCGTTCTTACAGTATTCTCCCTGTACACCAAGTCAGAACCGTAGGATAAATAAAGGGGGCATATAACAGACAATGAAAGCTCTTACAATATTCGATGATTACATTTCTCTAAAACAGGCTACATGAGAAATGTGCACCACTAAGTCAGAACAGTAGGCTAAGTTATGAGGTGAAAAGGGACCAAATTATTAGGGTGAGGCACATGGGCTACTAACAGCTTACTACACAACATACACTTAGTATTACTTTCTTAGCTATAGTATACATATCTCCCTGGCATATTACATCATTTATGCAGCAGCATACAATACATTTTTGGACTCACCTTGTTGTGCTGTGCTCACTTGAACAGAAGGTGGCGCCGTGCACAGCACCTTCTTGTGGGCTCTAGAAAGAGGCCCGAAATCCCGACTTGGAATTCAGAGTTGGATGACCGTTCAAAATTATTTTCCGTATTTTCCCAGTCGGAGCTAGTTTTATCCAAGTTCCCAGTTGTCTTGAATTCATTGAAATCTGAGATTTCCCAGATCCGAGTTTCCAGTTGTTTTAAACTCAGCAGAAGTCATGCTGGATTGACAGCATGGCCAATGTATTCAAACTTTTCTGGCCCATGGCGTTACCCACTTTTTCATGATATCCAATTGGTAATTACGATCTTGTCTCATCACTGCAATTCCCCTACGGACTCGGCGAAGGTCGAGAGCCAAGTCACACTGCTTCTTGACACACTGCTCGCTTAACCCGGAAGTCAGCCACACCAATGTGTCGGAGGAAACACTGTCGAACTGACGGCCGAAGATGACCAACCGGCTCGCCACAAGGAGTCGCTAAAGCACGATGAGACAAGGACATCCCGGCCGGCCAAACCCTTCCCTAACCCGGACGACGCTGGGCCAATTGTGCGCCGTCCAATGGGTCTCCCGGGTCACGGCCGGCTGTGACACAGCCTGTGATCGAACCCGGGGCTGCAGTGGCGCCTTAGCACTCATTGTTGAATTTGAGATTTCCAACTTGTTGTGTAATGTTTGTGTCCAATGGCCGATGAGCACCGAAACGTTTTATCTATAATTTCTCTTCATATGACAAGGATTGAAAAGGATTTGCCAGTAGATTGCCGATTTGATGCATGATGATGACTGCTTGTCTAGCTTGCTAGCTAAGATTTTGAAAATATGATGTTGATATGATCAGTCCAATCAAAACTACGGTAGATATAACGTGATTTGACGTCATTTTATCTGTGGCCAATGACCTTGAGCCTTCTTGGATGGGCACTTCTAATGTAAGTCTATGGCAGCACCCAAGGGGTTCGAATTTTCGAGCTCTACAGTGAGAGAAAAAAGTATTTGATCCCCTGATGATTTTGTACGTTTGCCCACTGACAAAGAAATGATCAGTCTATAATTTTAATGGTAGGTTTATTTGAACAGTGAGAGACAGAATAACAACAAAAAAATCCTGAAAAACGCATGTCAAAAATTTTATAAATATATTTGCATTTTAATGAGGGAAATAAGTATTTGACCCCCTCTCAATCAGAAAGATTTCTGGCTCCCAGGTGTCTTTTATACAGGTAACGAGCTGAGATTAGGAGCACACTCTTAAAGGGAGTGCTCCTAATCTCAGCTTGTTACCTGTATAAAAGACACCTGTCCACAGAAGCAATCAATCAATCAGATTCCAAACTCTCCACCATGGCCAAGACCAAAGAGCTCTCCAAGGATGTCAGGGACAAGATTGTAGACCTACACAAGGCTGGAATGGGCTACAAGACCATCGCCAAGCAGCTTGGTGAGAAGGTGACAACAGTTGGTGCGATTATTCGCAAATGGAAGAAACACAAAAGAACTGTCAATCTCCCTCGGCCTGGGGCTCCATGCAAGATCTCACCTCGTGGAGTTGCAATGATCATGAGAACGGTGAGGAATCAGCCCAGAACTACACGGGAGGATCTTGTCAATGATCTCAAGGCAGCTGGGACCATAGTCACCAAGAAAACAATTGGTAACACACTACGCCGTGAAGGATTAAAATCCTGCAGCGCCCGCAAGGTCCCCCTGCTCAAGAAAGCACATATACAGGGCCGTCTGAAGTTTGCCAATGAACATCTGAATGATTCAGAGGAGAACTGGGTGAAAGTGTTGTGGTCAGATGAGACCAAAATAGAGCTCTTTGGCATGAACTCAACTCGCCATGTTTGGAGGAGGAGGAATGCTGCCTATGACCCCAAGAACACCATCCCCACCGTCAAACATGGAGGTGGAAACATTATGCTTTGGGGGTGTTTTTCTGCTAAGAGGACAGGACAACTTCACCGCATCAAAGGGACGATGGACGGGCCATGTACCATCAAATCTTGGGTGAGAACCTCCTTCCCTCAGCCAGGGCATTGAAAATGGGTCATGGATGGGTATTCCAGCATGACAATGACCCAAAACACACGGTCAAGGCAACAAAGGAGTGGCTCAAGAAGAAGCACATTAAGGTCCTGGAGTGGCCTAGCCAGTCTCCAGACCTTAATCCCATAGAAAATCTGTGGAGGGAACTGAAGGTTCGAGTTGCCAAACATCAGCCTTAAAACCTTAATGACTTGGAGAATATCTGCATAGAGGAGATGTGTGCAAACCTGGTGGCCAACTACAAGAAACGTCTGACCTCTGTAATTGCCAACAAGGGTTTTGCCACCAAGTACTAAGTCATGTTTTGCAGAGGGGTCAAATACTTATTTCCCTCATTAAAATGCAAATCAATTTATAACATTTTTTACATGCATTTTTCTGGATGTTTTTGTTGTTATTCTGTCTCTCACTGTTCAAATAAACCTACCATTAAAATTATAGACTGATCATGTCTTTGTCAGTGGGCAAACGTACAAAATCAGCAGGGGATCAAATACTTTTTTCCTTCACTGTACTCTGTGTTCTTGGCTAGCTCTTTTGGGTGTTTACGCCAGATTGTTGTTAACAACTCCGTGACTAATCTATTTGTATCAGAACTACATACTTAGACAAAACTGAATTGACTGAACCTTGTTCTCTCTCTTTGTCCTCCACAGAAATCTTTCTCCTTGGTGTTAGAGGCTCTGGACCATGACAATGAAACATCAGAATCAGGTAAGGCTGGAGAGGGAATTTCCACAGTATGTGTGTGTTTGTGTGTGTGTGTGAGAGAGAGAGAGAGAGAAGCAGAGAAAGAGACAGACAGACTAAATTGCCTTCTTTCTTTGAGCACAGTCAGACTCTCATACTTTCCCACACACTTTAAAGGAAAATAAGCAGTGATAGAGGGAGGGAGGGAGAGGGTGGGAGAGGGAGGGCGGGAGGGAGGGAGAGGGAGGGAGGGAGGGAGAGGGAGAGGGAGGGCGGGAGGGGGAGGGAGGGACATAGAGTACATGTGGACCCCTTCCCCCTTCCCGTTTATGACCCAGGGCTATGGTTCCCCTCTGTCTTCACTGGGTCCCCTTGCTGTCTCGAAAAGGAGTCACAACCAGTATATGTGTCTGTTTTGAATGTGTGTCAATGTGCAGGGGAGACGTGTGTGTGTGTGTATTTCTAATTATGCCTGTACGTGTGGGTCAGTGTTTCTGGGGTCTCCCAATCAGACCCTTTAATTTCACACTCCTTGTTTCTGCTCATAATCAGAGAAAGCTCCATGATAGGAAATGTGAGCAGCATTCTCTAAAAACAGACAGATACACTACATGACCAAAGGTATGTGGACACCTGCTCTTCGAACATCTCATTCCAAAATCATGGGCATTAATATGGAGTTGGTCCCCCCTTTTGCTGCTATAACAGCCTCCATCTTCTGGGAAGGCTTTCCACTAGATGTTGAAACATTGCTGTGGGGGGACTTGCTTCCATTCAGCCAACAAGCGTTAGTGAGGTCGGGCACTGATGTTGGGTGATTAGGCCTGGCTCGCAGTCGGCGTTCCAAGTCATCCCAAAGAGGTCAGGGCTCTGTGCAGGCCAGTTAAGTTCTTCCACACCGATCTTGACAAACCATTTCTGTATGGACCTCACTTTGTGCACGGGGGCATTGTCATGCTGAAACAGGAAAGTGCCTTCCAAACTGTTGCCACAAAGTTGGAAGCACAGAATCGTCTAGAATGTCATTGCATGCTGTAGCGTTAAGATTTCCCTTCACTGGAACTAATGGGCCTAGCCCGAACCATGAAAAACAGTCCAAGACCATTATTCCCCCTCCACCAAACTTTACAGTTGGCACTATGGTAGTGTTCTCCTGGCATCTGACAAACCCAGATTAGTCCGTCGGATTGCCAGATGGTGAAGCGTGATTCATTACTCCAGAGAACACGTTTCCACTGATTCAATGGCGACGAGCTTTACACCACTCCAGCCGACACTTGGCATTGCGCATGGGGATCTTAGGCTTGTGTGTGGCTGCTCGGCCATGGAAACCCATTTCATGAAGCTCCCGACAAACAGTTTTTGTGCTGATGTTGCTTCCAGAGGCAGTTTAGAACTCGGTATTGAGTGTTGCAACTGAGGACAGACGATTTTTACGCGATACGCGCTTCAGCACTTGGCGGTCCTGTTCTGTGAGCTTGTGTGGCCTACAAACTTTGCGGCTGAGCCGTTGTTGCTCGTAGACGTTCCCACTTCACAATAACAGCACTTACAGTTGACCGGGGCAGCTCTAGCAGGGCAGAAATTTGACGAACTGACTTGTTGGAAAGGTGCCATCCTATGACGGTGCCATGTTGAAAGTCACTGAGCTCTTCAGTACGGCCAATCTACTGCCAATGTTTGACTATGGAGATTGCATGGCTGTGTGCTCGATTTTATACACGGTGTGGCTGAAATAGCCGAATCCACTAATTTGAAGGGGTCTCCACATACTTTTGTATTTATAGTGTATAGACCACACACACACACACACACATAAACAAAAATGCACACTTCAATGCTCATTACATACACACTAAGACACACAAACACAGATGCACCTATCCTTCCTCATTCCTCTTGTTCCCCAGCTCTTCCCGTTCATCCTCGCCCCCTTTTTCCCTTGTTCCTCTGCCCCCTCCTGCCCCGTAAAAGGCTGCAGAGAGTCTCAGCCAAAAAATGATTGGAGAGATAATGAGAGGCTGGGAACCAAACCACAGACCTCCTCCTCTTCCTCCTCTTCCTCCTCTCTTTTTCCTCTTTTCCCATCTCCCTTTCCCTCTGCCCTCCAGTTCTAGTCGTACGCCTTGTATTTATTTTTTTTTTTTTGATTTGATTCCTTATTTATTCCTTTTTTTGAAAAAATAGTTTAAAAAATGTTTTTATTTTTATCTTTTTTTAAAATTTTTTTTTTTTTGGGGGGGGGGGGGGGAATGGATCAGCTTAATATTGCAAATAGATTGTATCTTCTATCAATGTAATTGTCTGCATCACTTCCAATCCCCCATGTTTTTTTAAAAAATATATATACTCCCCTTTATTACCCTTCAACCCAACCATCCCAACCAACCCAACAATGCCCAGGCCTCTACTTCCGGTCTATACTTACTATCTACACCTTATGGACAGAGTTAATTTTACAATAATTATATTATATATATATATATATACAGTGGGGGAAAAAAGTATTTAGTCAGCCACCAATTGTGCACGTTCTCCCACTTAAAAAGATGAGAGAGGCCTGTAATTTTCATCATAGGTACACGTCAACTATGACAGACAAATGAGAAGAAAAAAATCCAGAAAATCACATTGTAGGATTTTTTATGAATTAATTTGCAAATTATGGTGGAAAATAAGTATTTGGTCAATAACAAAAGTTTCTCAATACTTTGTTATATACCCTTTGTTGGCAATGACACAGGTCAAACGTTTTCTGTAAGTCTTCACAAGGTTTTCACACACTGTTGCTGGTATTTTGGCCCATTCCTCCATGCAGATCTCCTCTAGAGCAGTGATGTTTTGGGGCTGTCGCTGGACAACACAGACTTTCAACTCCCTCCAAAGATTTTCTATGGGGTTGAGATCTGGAGACTGGCTAGGCCACTGCAGGACCTTGAAATGCTTCTTACGAAGCCACTCCTTCGTTGCCCGGGCAGTGTGTTTGGGATCATTGTCATTCTGAAAGACCCAGCCATGTTTCATCTTCAATGCCCTTGCTGATGGAAGGAGGTTTTCACTCAAAATCTCATGATACATGGCCCCATTCATTCTTTCCTTTACACGGATCAGTCGTCCTGGTCCCTTTGCAGAAAAACAGCCCCAAAGCATGATGTTTCCACCCCCATGCTTCACAGTAGGTATGGTGTTCTTTGGATGCAACTCAGCATTCTTTGTCCTCCAAACACGACGAGTTGAGTTTTTACCAAAAAGTTCTATTTTGGTTTCATCTGACCATATGACATTCTCCCAATCCTCTTCTGGATCATCCAAATGCACTCTAGCAAACTTCAGACGGGCCTGGACATGTACTGGCTTAAGCAGGGGGACACGTCTGGCACTGCAGGATTTGAGTCCCTGGCGGCGTAGTGTGTTACTGATGGAAGGCTTTGTTACTTTGGTCCCAGCTCTCTGCAGGTCATTCACTAGGTCCCCCCGTGTGGTTCTGGGATTTTTGCTCACCGTTCTTGTGATCATTTTGACCCCACGGGGTGAGATCTTGCGTGGAGCCCCAGATCGAGGGAAATTATCAGTGGTCTTGTATGTCTTCCATTTCCTAATAATTGCTCCCACAGTTGATTTCTTCAAACCAAGCTGCTTACCTATTGCAGATTCAGTCTTCCCAGCCTGGTGCAGGTCTACACTTTTGTTTCTGGTGTCCTTTAAGTGGGAGAACTTGCACAATTGGTGGCTGACTAAATACTTTTTTCCCCCACTGTATATATATATATATATATATATATATATATATATATATATATATTGCTCCTGAACTGCTTCTACTCTCAACCTCTCCGATCATTTTCATGATGTCCATCCGGTTTGCTTCTATATGCCATATCTTTCTAACTGTGCTCTTTCCCAAAAGCTCCCAACATACAACCTATATACTTATTATGGACACAGTATGCTTACATTATTAGCTATCTTTGTTATTATTTGTTATTAGTCCCATCATTCAACTCTATTCAATACCTCCCATCTATCTCTTAACACCATCCATATAGGATTTCTATTTGCCATATACAGTGGGGAGAACAAGTATTTGATACACTGCCGATTTTGCAGGTTTTCCTACTTACAAAGCATGTAGAGGTCTGTAATGTTTATCATAGGCACACTTCAACTGTGAGAGACAGAATCTAAAACAAAAATCCAGAAAATCACATTGTATGATTTTTAAGTAATTCATTTGCATTTTATTGCATGACATAAGTATTTGATACATCAGAAAAGCAGAACTTAATATTTGGTACAGAAACCTTTGTTTGGAATTACAGAGATCATACGTTTCATGTAGTTCTTGACCAGGTTTGCACACACTACAGCAGGGATTTTGGCCCACTCCTCCATACCTTCTCCAGACCTTCTCCAGATCCTTCAGGTTTCGGGGCTGTCGCTGGGCAATACGGACTCAGCTCCCTCCAAAGATTTTCTATTGGGTTCAGGTCTGGAGACTGGCTAGGCCATTCCAGGACCTTGAGATGCTTCTTACGGAGCCACTCCTTAGTTGCCCTGGCTGTGTGTTTCGGGTCGTTGTCTTGCTGGAAGACCCAGCCACGACCCATCTTCAATGCTCTTACTGAGGGAAGAAGGTTGTTGGCCAAGATCTCGTGATACATGGCCCCATCCATCCTCCCCTCAATACGGTGCAGTCATCCTGTCCCCTTTGCAGAAAAGCATCCCCAAAGAATGATGTTTCCCCCTCCATGCTTCACGGTTGGGATGGTGTTCTTGGGGTTGTACTCATCCTTCTTCTTCCTCCAAACACGGCGAGTGGAGTTTAGACCAAAAAGCTCTATTTTTGTCTCATCAGACCACATGACCTTCTCCCATTCCTCCTCTGGATCATCCAGATGGTCATTGGCAAACTTCAGACGGGCCTGGACATGCACTGGCTTGAGCAGGGGGACCTTGCGTGCGCTGCAGGATTTTAATCCATGACGGCGTAGTGTGTTACTAATGGTTTTCTTTGAGACTGTGGTCCCAGCTCTCTTCAGGTCATTGACCAGGTCCTGCCGTGTAGTTCTGGGCTGATCCCTCACCTTCCTCATGATCATTGATGCCCCACGAGGTGAGATCTTGCATGGAGCCCCAGACCGAGGGTGATTGACCGTCATCTTGAACTTCTTCCATTTTCTAATAATTGCGCCAACAGTTGTTGCCTTCTCACCAAGCTGCTTGCCTATTGTCCTGTAGCCCATCCCAGCCTTGTGCAGGTCTACAATTTAATCCCTGATGTCCTTACACAGCTCTCTGGTCTTGGCCATTGTGGAGAGGTTGGAGTCTGTTTGATTGAGTGTGTGGACAGGTGTCTTTTATACAGGTAATGAGCTCAAACAGGTGCAGTTAATACAGGTAATGAGTGGAGAACAGGAGGGCTTCTTAAAGAAAAACTAACAGGTCTGTGAGAGCCAGAATTCTTACTGGTTGGTAGGTGATCAAATACTTATGTCATGCAATAAAATGCAAATGAATTACTTAAAAATCATACAATGTGATTTTCTGGATTTTTGTTTTAGATTCTGTCTCTCACAGTTGAAGTGTGCCTATGATAAACATTACAGACCTCTACATGCTTTGTAAGTAGGAAAACCTGCAAAATCGGCAGTGTATCAAATACTTGTTCTCCCCACTGTATATTTCAACCGTACTGTGATGTTTTACAAAAGTTCTGAACCTTTCTATTCTCATTGCTTCTACAGATTGTGAATTAAAAATAAAAAATTTTGCTGAAAATATTATTATATTATTGATTGACTATGACTTTTCAGATCACCCAGTAATGCTATCTGCAAGGTTAGCTCCATGTAAATATTGCAATCCTTTAGCCATTCCTGGACCTGTGTCCAAAAACAAGCTACAAATGGACAGAACCAAAACAAATGATCTAATGATTCTGTCTCTTCACAGCAAAATCTGCAGAGCTGGGAAGATTGTATCCCCCATATAAATAACATTATATTGGTAGCAAGAATTTTATATAATAATTTAAATTGAAAGATTCTAATTTTTGAATCCGGTGTCGTTTTGCGTGTCAGTTCATAAACACTATGCCATGGGATCGGTACGTCAAAGATCTCTTCCCAACTATTTTGCAATCAATATGGGACGGCTGTCAATCCTTTGGTCCTTAAGTGAAACTGATATACTTTTTTATTTATCACAGTTTTCCTTAACCAATTATGTTCTTTAATGCAAGGCCGACAGACAAGTTCCTTACTTTCTCCCCCTTCCACTTTCCTCTTCCACTTTTGCGGTAAGGCTGCAATTATTTGGTTGTAATTTTGGGTAGAGCAGACATTTCCATATGTTTTTGTTAGCTGCATGTGCGACATAACTCCACCAGTCCTACCGATGATATCATTTACGAAGATTATACCTTTTTTAAACATTCTGTCAAAAAATAAAGGTTTTTTGTCAATTAGTATATTTGAATTTAACCACAAAATTTGTTGCATTATTTGTTCTGTCGTTTCTGGAGGATGAAATTGAAATTGCGCCTTGTTTGCTCCATCCCTCGTTTTCCTGAGTTTCTGAAATATTCTCTATTTTTACCACGTTGGGTTTAAAGCCCCTCTCCTGGCTCCCAGCTTAGCTCAAACCCATAGCAGACATCCTAGAGCAGTCAGGGCCGATTTACAGCCCCATAGCTCTAATCAGGATGGATTACAACGCTGTAATGTAGCTGTCTAACACAGAGCCACAGAGTCCTTGGACAGAGAGGGAGAACACAGTGACAACACTTTAAAACATCAATGACCTTCATCGACTCTCTGGACTGGAGCTAGTTGTGTTCCCCAATGATTTTCTCTCTCTCGCTTTTTTATGTGAACAATATGTTTTTGTTGGATCACATGAAAGGTACTATAATCAATAAAAAACAATGCAACCCCCCCCCCCCCCCCCCCCCCCCCCTTTTGAACAACCAACCGCCCCCCACTCTCTCTTTGACTCTGTCGCTCTCTCGCTCTGTCTCTCTTTCGCTCTGTCACTCTCTCTCTTTCTCTCTGTCTCTTTGTCTCTGTCGCTCTCTCGCTCTGTCTCTCTTTCGCTCTGTCACTCTCTCTCTTTCTCTCTGTCTCTTTGTCTCTGTCGCTCTCTCTCTCTGTCTTTCTTTCTCTCTGTCACTTTCTCTTTCTCTCTCTTTGTCTCTGTCTGTCACTCTCTCTTTCTCTCACTTTCTCTTTCTCTCTCTGTCACTCAATTCAATTTCAATTTCAATTTAAGGGCTTTATTGACATGGGAAACGTATGTTAACATTGCCAAAGCAAGTGAAGTAGATAGTAAACAAAAGTGAAATAAACAATAAATATGAACAGTAAACATTACACTCAGAAGTTCCAAAAGAATAAAGACATTTCAAATGTCATATTATGTATATATATATATACAGTGTTGTAACAATGTGCAAATAGTTAAAGTACAAATGGGAAAATAAATCAACATAAATATGGGTTGTATTTACAATGGTGTTTGTTCTTCATGGTTTCCCTTTTCTTGTGGCAACAGGTCACAAATCTTGCGGGCTGTGAGGGGCACATTGTGGTTTTCACCCAGTAGATAAGGGAGTTTATCAAAATTGGGTTTGTTTTCGAATTCTTTGTGATCTCTGTAATCTGAGGGAAAATATGTGTCTCTAATATGGTCATACATTTGGCAGGAGGTTAGGAAGTGCAGCTCAGTTTTCAACCTAATTTGTGGGCAGTGTGCACATAGCCTGTCTGCTCTTGAGAGCCAGGTCTGCCTACGGCGGCCTTTCTTTCTTTCTTTCTTTCTTCTTTTTTCTTTTCTTTCTTTCTTTTTCTTTTCTTTCTTTTCTTCTTTCTTTCTTTCTTCTTTCTTTCTTTCTTTCTTTCTTTTCTTTTTCTTTCTTTCTTTTTCTCTTTTCTTTTTCTTCTTTTTCTTTTCTTCTTCTTTTTTCTTTTTCTTTTCTTTCTTTCTCTTTCTTACTTTTTTTGTTTTGGGCTTTAAGTGTTTTGTTCATCTATTTACTTTATGTTCATTATCGGTTTGTTTGTTCCTCGTATTTTATATGTTTGTATCTTGTAGATTCTTTCCCCTTTCTTATTCTTACTCTATCATAACTATCCTTCATTCCTTCGATCGTTTGGCTTCTTCTACTTTGTTGTTCTTTCTCTTCTCTTCTTCCTTTTACCTTTCTATTTCATCCATTACGGCAGTTTTCTTCTATTCTTTCTTCCTCTCTTCTCTTCGATCTGTCGCTTTTGTTCTCTGTTCTTTCTTCTGTTTTTTTACTGTTGACTCATCAGGGCTTTGTAAAATTCTTCCGTTCTTGTCTGTTCAGTCTTGCGCCCTGCCGACATTCCCTACTTTTTTGTATGGGTTGGGTCGGGTGGGGTGGTGTACTGGGGTGATACCTTACTGTCTTCTTTCTTCTTCTCTTTTCTTTTACCCTCTCCTCACTATCATCACATCATTTCATTTATCATCATTCTAGCAGCCTTTATCCCCGCCTTTGTGCCTCTTTTTCTTTTGTTTTCAACCCTGATTTCTCCCTTTTTAACAGGCTTTCTTTATGTTGTTATTGCTCTTTCTCTCTTTTCCCCTTTAAATCTTTCTTATCTTCTTCTGGACTCTGATTCTTCTCTCTTCTTCTTTCTTTAGGCCACTTTCTTCTGTTTTTTGTCCTTCCCAGTCTTTTAAAACACAGTGAAAGACGGTTCCTCATATTCTCTCTCCCTATATGACATTTCTCTCCTCCCACTACTCACCCACACACACCACACCCCACACATCACACCCCACCCACCAAACCCCACCACACCCACCCACACCCTCCTCCTTACGCACACGCACACACACACACAGTCCTTTGTGTGGGTTCCCATTCCGGGCGGGATTCTACGAGTGGAGATGCCCCCTCTGTAATCCCCCGGTCTTTACATGTCACCACCCCCCAACTTGTCCCCTCCACAATATCCCTCCATACCTCACAGTGACCCACCTCTCCCTTCCCACTGATTTACCTCCCTCATTCTCCCTCCTCCTCTCTCCACTTCCATTAGCGCTTTGCCATTCGCCCTTCACTTCTCGGGCACCAACCCTGGCTTACTTCCCCATGTGTTTCTCTCACTCTCTCTCTCTCCGACTTCTCCTCGCTCTGGTATACCTACCTTTTCTGTCATCTCATCATTTAAGTTCCCTCTTAGTAGCTGCATTCAGGGCCCCGTCATCGTTGCCTGGCGAGCAAAATACACTAGGGCAATTACTGGTGCGTAAGTTGGTCAAGATGACCTATCTAGCCCTCTGCAACATTCATTCCAAGCAAAGCTTCGAACACTGCACCGCGCATGGTGAGAATTGGGGGGGGGGGGGTGTAGCTGGGGTAGCACCCTTACTGTCGCACTGATGTGTTCCCTCTCCCCTTTCACATCTTCCCCCCCCTTAACACAACCACACTCCACAGCCAAACATAAAAACATCATTACAGAATCACATTTCATTGACATATTAGCAGACGCTCTTATCCACCCCCAGCCAATATGTGCCCCTGTTTTCATTATTTTGTTTCAAACCCAGATGATCTCATCCCTCCAACAGGAGTTCTGTTATGTGTGTTATTAGCTCTCGCTCTCTCTCTCTCTCTCGCTCTCTCTCTCCTCTCTCTCTCTCGCTCTCTCTCTATCTCTCTCTCTCTCTCTCGCTCTCTCTCTCTCTCTCGCTCTCTCTCTCTTAGGCCCACCATTCTCTCTTTCTCTATCTCTAGCTCCATCTCCCCGCCTTTTAAATACACAGTCACACAGTACACTGTTTCGCACTCACATTCTCTGTCTTGCTCTCTCATATGCACACATTCTCTCTCCCTCTCACTCACACACACACACACACACACACACACACAACACACACACACACACACACACACACACACACACACAAACACACACACACACACATTCTCTCTCCCTCTCACACACACACACACACACACACACAGTGCTTTGTGTGGGCTAATACCCTGTCAGGGGGGATTATAACTGAGGTGGAGATGACAGCCCCTCTGGTAAATCCCCCCGGGGTCTCTTTTACCATGTCACCACCCAAACTCTGTCCCCCTCCTACCAATCTGTGCCCTCTCTACCCTCAGTACCCTCTGCACCCTCACCCTGTCCCCTGTTTACCACCTCTGACTTAACCCTGTCCTCTCCTCCTCATCAGTAGCTCTCACAACATGTCACCACCAGGGTGGTGTGAGCCTCTGGCCCTTTTCATTCTCTCTCTTTCAGGGCAGCCAACCCTGTGGCCTTAAGCTTCTCTCTTTCCCAAAATGCTGTTTCTTCTCTACTGTCTCTCTCTCAGGGCAAATCTAAATCTCTCGCTATCTCTGTGTCTCTCTCCCTCTCTCTCTCTGTCTCTTTCTATCTCTGTCGCTGTCTCTCTCTCCTTCAGGTCAGGCTGGTCTGATCGAGCGTGTCCTCCTGTCCTCCATGTTGAATCCTGGCGAGCAGTGGCAGACGTACCGTCACCACGGAAGCACGCTCAGCCTGGAGTACCGCCTACGGTACCGGTGTGACTCCAACTACTACGGCCCCTTCTGCAACAAGTTCTGCCGTCCCCGGGACGACTTCTTCGGACACTTTGGCTGTGACCTCAGCGGCATCAAGGTCTGCAAGGAAGGCTGGACCGGACCGGAGTGTCGAGAAGGTGAGTGAGGGCTACCTGGTGGTGGAGAAGGGTTTGTTTTCTGTCTGATATTCTGTTGGACTCACAGTAGTGAAGACGAAATTCAGCAACTCTTAGAGGACAGTGGAAGTTCATAGAAAATGCTTCTTTATTGATGAAATCAACGTGTTTCGGGCTTAGCCTGCATCAGGGTTTTCATCTGTTGGACTTGGAGTTGTGTTATAGACTACAGACATATTGGGGTCAGCACAAATGATTGGATGGAATCCAAGGGATGGTTCCTCCTTGCTCGTGACTCATGACTCTGTATGTCAATTCCTATTGTTAGTACGTTATGCCAAGGTAATAACCAAGGTAATAGCCATCAAGCCTGTAAAATCCCATTAACCCCTAAAATGTCCTGACAGTTTATTTAAAGTCACATTATCTCCATGATTAAGGTGACCTCACACTCTGATCTCTGACCTGAAGCAGCAATCTTGCTGAGGTGAGACTAAATCAAGGAAATGATGGCGGAAACTATGGAGGATATGAGCCTGGAGTAATGACATCCTGTGGCCCTCCCACTACCGCCCTCCTCTGGCCCATCTCACTTCCTCCTTAGCACAGTGCTGATTGGATTGGAGGGATACAGGAAGTGACATCATTCGTTGACAGACATTAGTGAGTTTGTCCCCAGAGAGACATAGGGGGTGTAGAGTGTGGAGAGCACTGAACATTATCATAAATGGAACTACCCCACCTGACGTCAATCAATCAAATGTTATTCGTCACATGCGCCGAATACAATAGGTGTAGACCTTACAGTGAAATGCTTACTTACAAGCCCTTAACCAACAATGCAGTTTTAAGAAAAATAAGTGTTAAGTAAAAAATAGATTTAAAAAAATAACAGTAGGGAGGCTATATACAGGGGGGTACCAGTACAGAGTCAATGTGCGGGGGCACAGGTTAGTCGAGGTAATTGAGGTAATATGTACAAAATCCTTCGCGTCCGACTCGTTAAAGAAAAAATCTTCGTCCAGTACGAGGTGAGTAATTGCTGTCCTGATATCCAGAAGCTCTTTTCGGTCATAAGAGACGGTGGCAGAAACATTATGTACAAAATAAGTTACAAATAATGCGAAATAACACACACAATAGCACAATTGGTTAGGAGCCCGTAAAACGGCAGCCATCTCTTCCGGCGCCATTCATGTACTGTTGTGGTTATGATGCTGTGTACTGTTGTGGTTATGTGTGTTGTGTTTCTTTGATGACAGGGTTGTTTTGTACTGTGTTGAGTGGCGTCTGGACTGTCTCTGACCCGACAGACGGTGATGTAATGTTGTGTGTTGTGTTACAGCGGTGTGCAGACAGGGGTGTCACCAGATCCACGGCTCCTGCACTGTGCCTGGAGAATGCAAGTGAGTCTGCTCCTCCCTGCTGTTTGAAATAAAATTTGTTCTCATAGACTTCCCTGTATCTTACCTGTATAAAGCCTGCTAAACATACACCCCCTCTCCCTCTGTGTTTGTAGGTGTCACTATGGCTATCAGGGTGCTCTGTGTGACCAGTGTGTGACGTTCCCAGGCTGCGTCTATGGGAGCTGCATTGAACCCTGGCAGTGTGTGTGTGACGTCAACTGGGGAGGCCTGCTGTGTGACAAAGGTGGGTTTTGTGTTTGTGTAGCACTAACTTCTGTATCAAGAAGAGTAGACTATCGATCACAATAAGTCATGCTTTGAGAGTGCTTGTGCATCAGTCTGTTTTCGTGTCTGTGAGTGAGTGAGTGAGTGAGTGAGTGAGTGAGTGAGTGAGTGAGTGAGTGAGTGAGTGAGTGAGGAGGAGTGATGCGTGAGGCTGAGTGAGTGCAGGGAGGGTGAGTGTGGCCTTGTGAGTGAGTGAGTGCGTGCGTGTGGGGTGGTGTTTTTCCATCCTTGCCCAGGCACAGCCCCCTGATCACCTATATAGGATAAGACAACTCCCTCTGGGCACTCTAGTAACTACAATAACCCTAAAACCCTTCCCACAACATTACCAAAACATTGTACAAACATTTCCCCAACGTTGCCCTCCCCCGCCCTGTGCCCCAGTGTGGGAGCCCCTGGGAGCCACACGAGGGGCCAGCAGCAGAGCATTGTGAGGGGAAAGGCGATAGCCTTGGGTAAAGTGAATGTGAGCTGGGCTGGGCTTAGCTAGGTGGGGTCTTGAGCCTCTTCCTGTCCCTCCATTCAGGTCATCTGTAAAGAGGCTCAGTCACAAAGAGAGCTGAACACAGCGGAGAGAGAGATCATTAGAAAGTAGGGCTTTAATCTGGCTGCCCTCCTTCATGCACAGGGCCCACACCCAGGCCCCAGGCAGGCAGCTACTCTCCTGTACCACACCACACCGACCTGGATTCACTCACTTACTCACTCTGGGGTGTGTGTGTGTGTGTGTGTGTCTTCTCTCTTTCTCTTCCCTTTTCTCTTTCTTGTTATCTCTCCATCCCTCATTCTCTTCCTACCCCTCTCTCCCCCTCCACTCTACCCATTCTCACTCTTTCTTGCTGTCTCCCTCTCCTCCTCAATCTCCCTTTATCTCTCAGATCTGAACCACTGCGGTACCCACCAGCCCTGTAAGAATGGGGGCACCTGTTCCAACACAGAGCCTAATGAGTACCAGTGTGAGTGCCAAGAGGGCTTCCGCGGGCGCAACTGTGATATCGGTGAGTTCATTACTTCTGCAGTATTTCTGCATATCATTTTGAGAATAGTATCAGCATGAATGAACTTCTAGCACATGGGCAGTTAGTGACCAGATTCATGATTGAATTTGCCTTGCTCTGAGTTTGACTTCTCTCTCTCTCCTCCTCCCTTTCCCCTCTCTTCCTCTCTCCTGCCGTCCTCAGTGGAGCATGCGTGTCTCTCCTCCCCCTGTGTGAACGGGGCCACCTGTGCGGAGGACCCGTCAGGTTTCAGCTGTGTCTGTGCGAACAACTGGACCGGACACACTTGCGCAGATGGTAATTAGCACCAATCAGGATGGCTGAGATTACCCGTGATTGGTTGTGATTGGAGCAGAGCCAATGCCCAGATTCTAATCAGTGTCCAGGATGAGACTAATTTACACAGAACACAAACAACACAGGAATCAGATACAGATATAATTCATTACACCACAAACACATTAACAACATGGAGTCGTCCATGCCCCCCAGTTGTTATGTGTGTCAGAGAAAGAGAGAGTGTTCTTCCCTGAGTGTGTAAGTGTGTGACTCACATAAGTAGCCCACAAAAAGCAATCAGCACAGTCACGGCACCCACATCTCCATAGCACCCATAACCCTTCAAAACAGGTAGAGCTTGCTAAGCTGCGCAGGTTAACATGGGGTGTGTTTGGGGTATATGAGGGCTATGGAGATATAATTTGACCTTTGCCGGAGATTCTCGCTAAGCCAATTAGCTAACAGGCTTAAGCATTTAAGGTAAGATGAGTGCTTGATCTTTAGTTAGAATACCAATCACCCCTGTCTGCCTTCCCCCTTCTTCCCACAAGTTAACAGGGGCCCACACAGCTTGGAGAATGTTCCACTTCACCATTACGGGGGGCATTGAGGTCACAAATGTTTAGGTGGATTACAGTGTTAGTCTGGTCCTGCCTCTGATTCAAAGATCTAGTGATCTCTCTTGTGTGAGTGTGTGAAGCAGACACACAGCGTAAGATAATATAATAATAATATATAATAATAATAATATAATATTTGCAGTTTAGAAGATGCTTTCATCCAAAGCGACTTACAGTCATGCGTGCATACATTTTACGTCTGGATTCTAAGAGATATCTGTATAAACATGCAGTGTTCCACTTTGTCTCTTCACCCCCATTTTTGTTTACTATGGTGACTGTGTCACAGGTGCTCTCCCTCCCTCAGTCAGGACAGAGGGGAACCATAGCCCCGGGTCACAAACGGGAAGGGGGGAGGGGTCCACATGTACTCTATGTCCCTCCCTCCCTCCCTCCCAACCTCCCTCCCTCTCTCTCCCTCCCTCCCTCCCTCCCTCCCTCCCTCCCTCCCTCCCTCCCTCCCTCCCTCCCCTCCCCTCCTCCCTCCCCCTCCCTCCCTCCCTCACTCCCTCCCTCCTTCTCTATCCCTGTCTGTATCACTGCTTATTTTCCTTTAAAGTGTGTGGGAAAGTATGAGAGTCTGGCTGTGCTCAAAGAAAGAAGGCAATTTAGTCTGTCTGTCTCTTTCTCTGCTTCTCTCTCTCTCTCTCTCTCTCTCTCTCTCGCTCTCAATGGACACCATGTTGAAACGAAAATTCTCAAGGCAATTACATTGTAGTAGTGATACCAATTAGAATGTTATTAATCATGGAGCGTTTGTTGACAACATGGCAGACAGTTGAACTGTCTATCTACTGTTTGTCACTGGGTGGGAGCATGAAGTCACACACACACACACTCTGGGGGACACACTGTCGGTTCGGGTTTTAGGGCATGGATGTCGGGAACCACAACACAGCTCTGTTTTTAGACGTGATTTATATATTGAACATTAATTAGAGGGTACTTTGTTTGTTATTGAGTCTCTCCCTGGGCTGTGGTGGCTTTGAATGGGTTATTGTGCAGGGCTGGGGTCAGGATCATGGAAACTGGTATGACTGTAGGGTTAGGTAAATGGGAAAGGTTATGAGAGAGGGGCTGACAGATGAGAGATGTACGCTACAGTGGCTGTGCATGGAAAAACGATGACCACCTTACTGTACAAATATGCCATGTTAGCCTATGGGTTCACCCTACCTACCTCTCCCTTTCTCACTGACGCTCTCTCTCTCTCTCTCTCTCTCTCTCTCTCTCTCACTTCCTCCTTCCCAGCCTGTTCTTTCTACCCATTCTCTCTCTCTCTCTCTGTTTTTTTTTTATTCCTCCATTCTCTCTCTATATAGTTTTGAATTCCTCTCCAGAGTAGTGGAACGAGGCGTGGCTGCTCCCTCCTCTCTCCCTATCTCTCTCCCTATCTCTCTCCCTATCTCTCTCCCTATCTCTCTCCCTATCCCTCTATCTCTGGATGGGAAAGTGAGTTTAGGAGATCCGGCGAGGTGTGAACAATGTGCAGCAGATTATTTCATTTATCTGTGTTTGCTCAGGGACCAGAGCAAGAGAGTAGGGAACGAAAACACAGCCCGCAGGAACATCCGCATACCAACAGAACAACTAGGAACACACACACTCACACATACACCATACGCCAGGGTAGTGGGTTCGATCCCCGGGACCACCCATACGTAAAAATGTATGCACACATGACTGTAAGTCGCTTTGGATAAAAGCGTCTGCTAAATGGCATATTATTATGATATTATACACATGCATCGCTAACACACATACAGTACTTACAACTGCACACACATTTACATTTGTACATTTATATTCTAGTCATTTTTAGCAGATACTCTAATCTAGAACGACTCATTATGCGTGCAAATAAGAAAGCTGAAACAACCACGTAAAACAAGCAATAATAGGAAAAACATTTCTAAATAATAAGGGTAAGTAAGAATCACATTGAACACACAAAATTGACAATTGGTTGGTAGATAAATTGGTTGATTGTTTGGTTGATTCATGTTTATCGCTCCTCAGTGAAGTGTAAGTCACTGGTTATTTTATTGTTGGCTGTATAATCAACTAATTTTATTGATTAATTGGTTAATTTTAGTGGTGCGGCAATGTGACTCAAACCCGTGTGGGCGCGGGGCAACGTGCCAGGAGTCTCCAGAGGTGTTCCAGTGCATCTGCCCCCCTGGCTGGACTGGCAGAACCTGCCAACTAGGTCAGTAAGATGGACGCTATGGAACACTAGTAGTCTACAAGAGAAATCTCTTCTGTATAGATATGTAGTATATCCACACAAAGCACTTCAAGCTAGAGAATCCAGCCACCAGATCAAACTCAGTATGCGTACAATGTTACACTGTGTCCATTAGGCCCAAGTACTCTCATATTGAGAAGAAATTCCCCAAAGCCCTGATACATATTAGTTCTAATGACAGATGATACTTCAGTAGGGGGTATTGTATCGAATCAAGTTAAACGCACACCACACACACACACACACACACACACACACACACACACACTTAAACACACACAAACACACACACACACAGGCTCTGGGCTCATAGGGTCCGTGGAGACATAGTTCGGGATGACAGTTCTCTTATATCCCTCTGTGTTGTAGTGATATGTCACACTGACACCTGATAATCCCCTACAGTTCCACTTCATAGCTCACAGTACATTGCTCACATTCACTTGTTTGCACTCAACACACACACACACACCACAGCCCAGGCTTTAGCTCCGACCCACAGGACAGGTTTCCAAAAATCCTGACCCTCCATCTGGGAAAAGACTCAGTACACACACAGAGAATATACTTTACATAGTTCTCTCTCTGTCTCTGAGCCCTTCCCAGTCTTCACTGTGTGGATCAGTGAGAATACATCAGTGAGAATCCCCTGCCTTCAGGCTGTTCCTACAGAGGTCAATGTTCCCTATCTCTCTGCTCTTTCTCACCCCTGGTGGTAAATCCTTATGGGACTGACAGCAGCAGGGTTTCTATTACCTGACTGCTTCCTGTCTCCTAATTGATGGTGTCACTCCCTCATTCTTCCCCCTGCGATCAGAGACCACCCTGAGGGGTTTCTCTCAGCTCCAACACTCTGGAGTCTGGTAGAGAAGGTGACAGAGACACGCTTGCTTCTATAGCCACACTGAAAGTGGTTCAGCTCCCTGGGGTCTCGTATCACACACAGACACACACAGAGACACACACACAGAGACACACACACAGACACACACACAGAGACACACACAAAGAGACACACACAAAGAGACACACACACAGAGACACACACGCACGTACACACACACACACACAATTTAATTTAACTTTATTGGGCTAACATTTCAGTTACCACAGCCATTGTCATTGCTGTATAGAATGTTTGTTAATGCTCTTTTTAAAGGTTTATTGCTCTCTTACAAAAGGACTGCTGCTTTAAATTGGCGTAAGCTTAAAGATTGTCCTGAGACCCCACCAGTGATTTTATTGATGTGTTCTCTCTCTCTACTTCCCATTTCTCTCTACAGACTCCAACGAGTGTGAGATGGGTGTGTGTGTCCATGCCCGCTCCTGCCGTAATCTGATTGGTGGATACCTGTGCGATTGCCTGCCAGGCTGGGCGGGACCTAACTGTGACATCAGTGAGTATGAGGTCAAGGATGGAGAAAGATGGTCCTGAGTGTGTGTGTGTGTGTGTGTGTGTGTGTGTGTGTGTGTGTGTGTGTGTGTGTGTGTGTGTGTGTGTGTGTGTGTGTGTGTGTGATTGAGTGTGCTGATCTATATGTCTCTCTGTTCTGTAGGGAACAGCAGCTGCCAGGGGTTATGTCTAAACGGAGGTCACTGTGAGGACTCTGTGTCAGGCTCACGCTGCCTGTGTGTGCCTGGTTTCTCTGGGAAGCACTGCCAGACTGGCCCCAGTCCCTGTGATAGCACCCCCTGTCAGCACGGAGGCCAGTGTGTGGACAAGGAGGGCAGGGCGGAGCTGTGTAGCTGTCCCATGGGCTACTCAGGGACGTACTGCGAGGTCAGACTCCATTCTCAGATTCATCATCTTCCCATTGGTTTTCTGTATCCTCCTCACATCATTTGTTATTGTTCATATTTTCCAGGTTGGGGTGGATCTGTGCAATCCCAACCCATGCCAGCAGGGGGTGCCCTGTCAGAGCACAGAGGGGGGGTACATGTGTGCCTGCCCTGAGGGTTACTATGGTAATGAGTGCACGAGCCTTAAGGACCCCTGTCATGGACAACACTGTCCAGGTGAGGCGTAGTGGGAATAAATGTTTTTTTACATGATGTGTGTGTACAGGTGTGTTTGTTAACTAACTAACATATCTCCCTCTCTCTCTCTCTCTCTCTCTCTCTCTCTCTCTCTCTCTCTCTCTCTCTCTCTCTCTCTCTCTCTCTCTCTCTCTCTCTCTCTCTTTATTTCTCTCTCTCTCTCACTAGGTGCCATGTTAGACCCAGCTCGTGGAGGGGTCAATCTCTACATGGTGTTGGTGGGTGTGTCAGCGTTAGTAATGGCGTGCGGCTGCGCAGCCTGCGCCATCTTCCTCTCCTGTCTCCACCGACGACGGAAAAAGACGCAGAGCGGGCCCAGGAGGAGGGCATCAACAACCAGAGGGAGTTCGTCACCCTCATCCGAAACCTAGACCGCCCCGTGCCCCTCCTGCCCCCTCTCACCCCCAACACCACCACCCACACCCCTGTCCCTGTCCCTGTACCGCGCTGCTGCGAAGAGATCGAGCTCACTCTGCCCCCCTCCCCGGCCCCCTCACACCCCTCCCCTGCACTCAAACCCTCAAACCACGGCCCCAAACAGGACATCTCCAACCTGGAGAGGGAGAAGCTCAACCGCTTCCACTACTCAGACAATCAGGAACTGGAGGTGTGACCTTTGGACCTTTGAACTGTCAGAGGCTTTTATAATTTTGCGCCCACTTCTCTCTGACCGGGCCCTGGCCCTGGACCCCGGCGCCGTGCCATGCTGCATAGGTTCCTGTGGTGATGATCTCACCCCGACCCATCCCTCTCTGAGTTGACTCCTCATCTTTTGTGAGCTGAGATTGTCATCTGTTAAATGGCATATATTATTGGTGTAGAATGCTGGGCCTACGAGTTAGCTAAGCAGATCTATTTTGGGGACCGACCTCGCCAACATCAAGAAACAGCATGGCAGTGAACTTTGACCTCTGACTTGTGACATCATGCTCTTCTGACCTGCTGACCCTGGAGCTAATCTTATAAGGGTTGGCCTTGAGTTAAGGTCTGGCCTGTGTCTGAGTGTCTCTGTGTTGAATGGGGACTCATGTAGACGGGAACAACTGTGAGGAGCCCTTTGAGCCATTCCCCAGGTGTTAATGTCCCTCTGTAGGCTCCCCACTGCCCTGGTTGCCCTGGAAGGCCTGGATGGCCTGTCACTGATGTCTGTAACTGGACTTCTACAGGGACTGCAGCCCTGCACTGTGGCCTCCTGGGCTGGGCAGCAACCAACAGGGGATGGGAGGGAAGGGAAAATTTAATTCCAATTAGTCCATTTCCACATTAATTATTGAAGGATAAACTGTGGTATATGTGTCAGTGCGAGATGTGTGTATGTGTGAGGTGTGTGTGTGATAAGCATTACAGACCTTCATGCCTGTCGCCAGGAGAGAGAGAGAAAAAAATAATCAATAAATGCAACCTTTAGATAAAAAAGAGGGAAAGGTTAGAAAAGAGAGTAGAGCCTGACCCCAATCCATTTGAACCATGAGAGAACTGAGTTAAAACATAACACTGTTGCCTGTGCGGTCTCTGTAACACACTGCGGTTGTCAAAGATGTAAGATGTTTTTTATTCCTGTGTGTAAAATAGCTCTGTTGTATATATGTTGTACATATTGATATTGTGTTTTTTGTACTGTGGTTTGTCTCTGAATGTTGCCGTTTTACTTTGCTCTATTTGTCCTCTCTCTCCATTCCATTCGTCTGGGGCTGCCAGCAGGTGTGGTTTGTAATTAAAGTGCATTTACCTTCCTAATCCATGTTTGTGTCGCAGAGTTATTTGTATGTCCCAGATCCAAGACAAATGGATAGGTGAATAGATAGCTTTCAACAATCCTGTCATGGTAGATCAGTGAGTTCATCAAGGGAGGTATGAAGGAAAGACATTTTCAAAGTCATTGAATGGGTAATGCAGTTCTATGGCTAGTAGTGCCATCCTGTTCCACCAGCACTGGGAGGCCAGAGAGGATATTCCATAGTGGAGAGCATGGCTCTAAGCCACCATAACTGTGTCACCAGGTCACACAACACACACATCCACAACCCAACAGCAATCACTCAAATCTAACACAAACACACATGCACACACAGAGAGATTGTAATTGTGCCAGGAAAAACGAAGGATAAAACACCTGACCGGCTTTGATATCCCAAAATGATTTAATTGCCTGTGAGGGACTTTGTTAGTGTGTGTGTCCCTGTACGTTTATGTTAGAGAGCAAGAGATACTGTAAGTGGGTTCACAATACAGTGAGAATGAATATGTGATTTATATGTGTGTGTATGTTTTGAGAGAGAGAAAGTGAGTGAGAGGTCACAGCAGTTAGAGAGAGACGGCTTATGGCTGTGATGAATGTGACCTTTGCCCTTCTCAGACGGGCTAAAGGGTGGAAATGACCATGGGCTTCCCGTCCCCATCCTGGCCACGAGGAAATGTAGGAAGTAGAGTTTCTACCCAACACACGCACGCACACACACACACACACACACAAAATCACTCCATTGTAGAGACCTCTTCACACCTCCTGTGCAACTCAGGATGACTCCATAACCCACCCATCAACCAAACATACAGCAAAGGTCAAAGTTCCTCATTGTACAAAGTTTCAAGTTCCTCGTTCATCAATCATTGATTTTGCTTTCATACTAATGCAGGGTATACAGTTGAAGTTGGAAGTTTACATACACCTTAGCCAAATACATTTAAACTCAGTTTTTCACAATTCCTGACATTTAATCCTAGTAAAAATTCCCTGTCTTAGGTCAGTTAGGATCACCACTTTATTTTAAGAATGTCTTTTATTTCTTTCATCACATTCCCAGTGGGTCAGAAGTTTACATACACTCAATTAGTATTTGGTAGCATTGCCTTTAAATTGTTTAACTTGGGTCAAACGTTTTGGGTAGCCTTCCACAAGCTTCCCACAATAAGTTGGGTGAATTTTGGCCCGTTCCTCCTGACAGAGCTGGTGTAACTGAGTCAGGTTTGTAGGCCTCCTTGCTCACACACGCTTTTTCAGTTCTGCCCACAAATGTTCTATAGGATTGAGGTCAGGGCTTTGTGATGGCCACTCCAATACATTTTACATTTACATTTTTAGTCATTTAGCAGACTCTCTTATCCAGAGCGACTTGAGTGCATAATTATTTATTTTTTCATACTGCCCCCCTGTGGGAATCTAACCTACAACCCTGGCGTTGCAAACGCCATGCTCTACCAACTGAGCTATGTCCCTGCTGGCCATTCCCTCCCCTACCCTGGACGACACTGGGCCAATTGTGCGCCGCCCAATGGGTCTCCCGGTCGCGGCCGGCTACAACAGAGCCTGGATTCAAACCAGGATCTCTAGTGGCACAGCTAGCACTGCGATGCAGTGCCTTAGACCACTGCGCCACTCGGGAGTCCAAAAAGTACAATCTTTGTCCCCATGACTCCAACCTAAGTCTATGTAAACTTCTGACTTCAACTGTATATTACACATTCCATTTATGGTGATGTATCCTATTGTGTGTTCAGTCCAATGGTACTCGAGTGTGAGTTTGTCCACTTGGTGTCTCATGGGTGCCTGTATGTACGCCCCTGCATCTTTGAATCCATTAACTGGGGGTCAAGGTTAAAATCACAGAGGGTGGTTTCAATGTTTCTGCCAGTTCCTCTAGGTCTATTTTGATCAACCAGAGACCAGCAGCTGTTGGAAACCTGCAGTTTCTGTTCTTGTCAGAAATTAGCTTTGGAGCGGTTGAAACTAGTGATGTTAAAATGACACATTTTCCTACAGGTTTCCTCATGGTTCTATTTAAAGACATGTTATACTCTTTTTGGCCATTTTCTGGTGTTTTGTGGTGGAAAACGGAGCAGTTAGAGCATAACAAGTCAACCCTGTTACCCATAAAAGTTAGGCTAGAAATGTTTGAACAATTATCTTTTTTTTGTGAAGCTTGCATTCAATTGCCACTACCTGTTGCACACAACAAGCTTCCATTCCCCCTGTCACAAAGGGATTTATGGCTGATTTAAGAAGAAATCGTCAACACTGTTACGGTCAACCCTGTTACTTTATTTGGCACTGAATAGGAACTAACTATAGTATTTTTTTTATTTAACCTCTTGAGATAGGAAAACGTGTTTTTTATGAAGTTGAACATGCACTCTTTATGCAGAATGTAAAAATTGGGTGAAATCAAACGTAATTTTTTTTTGCAAAAAAGGCACCGCATCGGTGGAACGACCCCCTTTTCAATATCAACACAACTCAAATGTGTGGGATAGGTATGATAAATATAAACCATTTGTCCCTCAAAGGTGGAATTTTTTGGGGAGATATTTCTGTTCATCAATATGTGGCACCTCCGACTGAATATGAACCCTACAGATCTCACTTTCTTCATATTACCATTCAAAGCAGCAGGGCATGTAGAATGATCTCAAAAGGGTCCTCACTGAGTTTTTCTGTAGCTTCATCATCTGGCAATGACTTCAGAGGTATGAGTGAATGATTAGGTAACTGAACCATGAACAAAGGACAGTTCCTGTAACGCCATCTGCTGGCCAATAAAGATATAAATTCTGTTAGTGGAATATTTTTTATTTCACGTTTATTTAATCAGGTAAGCCAGTTGAGAACAAGTTCTCATTTACAACTGCGACCTGGCCAAGATAAAGCAAAGCAGTGTGATAAAAACAACAACAACACAGAGTTACATATGGAATAAACAAAACGTACAGTCAATAACACAATAGAAAATCTATATACAGTGTGTGCAAATGTAGTAAGTTATGGAGGTAAGGCAATAAATAGGCCATAGTGCAAAATAATTACAATTTAGTATTAACACTGGAGTGATAGATGGGCAGAAGATGATGTGCAAATAGAGATACTGGGGTGCAAATGAGCAAAATAAATAACAATGTAAATAACAATATGGGGATGAGGTAGTTGGGTGGGATAATTACAGAATGGCTGTGTACAGGTGTAGTGATCGGTAAGCTGCTCTGACAACTGATGCTTAAAGTTAGTGAGGGAGATAAGAGTCTCCAGCTTCAGAGATTTTTGCAGTTTGTTCCAGTCATTTGCAGCAGAGAACTAGAAGGAATGGCGGCCAAAGGAGGTGTTGGCTTTGGGGATGACCAGTGAGATATACCTGCTGGAACGCATACTACGGGTGGGTGTTGCTATGGTGACCAATGATCTAAGATAAGGCAGGGATTTGCCTAGAAGTGATTTATAGATGACCTGGAGCCAGTGGGTTTGGCGACGAATATGTAGTGAAGGCCAGCCAACGAGAGCATACAGGTCACAATGGTGGGTAGTATATGGGGCTTTGGTGACAAAACGGATGGCACTGTGACAGACTACATCCAATTTGCTGAGTAGAGTGTTGGAAGCTATTTTGTAAATGACATCGCCGAAGTCAAGGATCGGTAGGATAGTCAGTTTTACAAGGGCATGTTTAGCAGCATGAGTGAAGGAGGCTTTGTTGCGAAATAGGAAGCCGATTCTAGATTTAACTTTGGATTGGAGATGCTTAATGTGAGTCTGGAAGGAGAGTTTATGGTCTAACCAGACACCTAGGTATTTGTAGTTGTCCACATATTCTAAGTCAGACCCGCCGAGAGTAGTCATTCTAACAGGGTTGAAAGCAGCGTTCGATTGAAGAGCATGCATTTAGTTTTACTAGCGTTAAAGAGCAGTTGGAGGCCACGGAAGGAGTGTTGTATGGCATTGAAGCTCGTTTGGAGGTTTGTTAACACAGTGTCCAATGAAGGGCCAGATGTATACAAAATGGTGTCGTCTGCGTAGAGGTGGATCTGAGAGTCACCAGCAGCAAGAGCGACATCATTGATATACACAGATAATAGAGTCGGCCCGAGAATTGAACCCTGTGGCACCCCCTTAGAGACTGCCAGAGGCCCAGACAACAGGCCCTCCGATTTGACACATTGAACTCTATCTGAGAAGTAGTTGGTGAACCAGGCAAGGCAGTCATTTGAGAAACCAAGGCTATTTAGTCTGCCAATAAGAATGCGGTGATTGACAGAGTCAAAAGCCTTGGCCAGGTCGATGAAGACGGCTGCACAGTACTGTCTTTTATCGATCACGGATATTATATCATTTAGGACCTTGAGCGTGGCTGAGGTGCACCCATGACCAGCTCGGAAACCAGATTGCAAAGCTGAGAAGGTATGGTGGGATTCTAAATGGTCGGTGATCTGTTTGTTAACTTGGCTTTCAAATACTTTCGAAAGGCAGGGCAGGATGGATATAGGTCTGTAACAGTTTGGATCTAGAGTGTCACCCCCTTTGAAGAGGGGGATGACCGCCGCAGCTTTCCAATCTCTGGGGATCTCAGACGATACGAAAGAGAGGTTGAACAGGCTAGTAATAGGGGTTGCGACAATTTCGGCGGCTAATTTGAGAAAGAAAGGGTCCAGATTGTCTAGCCTAGCTGATTTGTAGGGGTCCAGATTTAGCAGCTCTTTCAGGACATCAGCTATCTGAATTTGGGTGAAGGAGAAGCGGGGTGGGGCATGGGCAAGTTGCAGCGGAGGGTGCAGAGCTGGTGGCCGGGGTAGGTGTAGCCAGGTGGAAAGCATGGCCAGCCGTAGTAAAATGCTTATTGAAATTCTCGATTATCGTAGATTTATCAGTGGTGACAGTGTTTCCTAGCCTCAGTGCAGTGGGCAGCTGGGAGGAGGTGCTCTTATTCTCCATGGACTTTACAGTGTCCCAAAACTTTTTGGAGTTAGTGCTACATGAGGTTGGTGAGAGTAGGCGAGCTTCCACCTCCAGCCATGGCTAGCATCTGGCATCGTACTCAGCACCAATGGATGGGCCCCAGCAGCCCTGCACCAGCTGAGTTAGAGGGTCCTTCGCCACACCTGGGTTGTTCCATGGGGCGGCCCAAGACTGCTTTTGTGTCCTTGTGCATTCTCCTCACGGGGCAACACCTAAGCCCCTTACTTGCACCAGAGCAGGCACCCTCCTGGCCCCCATGTTTCTCTAAAATGACACTGGCTATCAGCTTTCCCTCTATTACGGCCAGAGGCACACGAGGACTCAATCCTGTCTGGTACCTTAGCTGCTCTGCCCTTCTGCCCTGCCTGTCTTGCCGGATAGGATTATGCACCCAAGGACTAAAGTCCCCCTTGAGGCCTGTGGCCTTTTAGAGATGTGCAATTTAGGTTAGATGCCTTTTTGTGGATGTTCATATTTCCAGAATAAATATTTCAGGGCTATATTTCTTTAAAAACACAACAATCTTACTAGCAAAGACAGTACAGTATGAAGATAGGCAGAAACTGCTTCTCCAATAGAAATCCCTGTTCACGCTTGTAGTTGATGTCATGGCGACGTTGACTAGCTAAGCTCATGCGCAGAAACATGTCATCGGGTCTAACGGTCATCTCGCACCTAACTGCGCATGTGCAGGCCGTCCAATCAAAGGCACTCCTTCGATATAAAGTTGTTTTGAGAAAAAATGAAAACGTCAGTTTATCACTTTCACGGGGTCTAAGTAATAACATGTTCAACTACTTAAAACATTGGCTTGAATCTAGGTTGTGCCTTAAGATTTCGAGAAAATGAACAACGAAGGGAAAAAAATGCACTTCTCTCGTTGACTTCTCAAACCCCAAATCCCGGCCTGGTCTGCTTGGTCTGTTTCGCAAGCGTTCCCGGAAGCCTTGCAATGTTGTGCCTCTGGGTTTAGAAACTCTGTGCTATTAGCTATATAACATCTTATAATTTGAAAACTACACACCAGTGGCCATGAGGTGGGGATAAGATGGCGGACAGGAACAATTTTAGAAAAGTGGAACATATTGTAAGTCAATATGGAATGGGGGAATGCACAAGCATTCTGGAAAATCTGATGAAGGAGAAGATGGCGGACAGGGAAAAAAAGGAGAAAAGTGGAACATGGAGTGGTGGATCACACAGAAGGAAATTCAACGTGAAGAGAGTGAGAATGAATTAACTGCAGTGGCAGGAGCTGTGAAGACCGCTGAGTTTGAGCCTCATCCTGATGATGACAAAGATGATTCTGGCAGAGTGGGAGTGAGAGTCTTGGAGAGAATGGATCCTTGCCTTCTGGCAGATCCATATGTGGTGTCTGGTTGGGTGGAGAAAAGGTTGGGGAATGTTGGGTCGGTGAAAGTGACTCAAAGTGGAATCGTGTTGATTTTTTGCGTTTCTGCCATCCAGAGGGAGCATGCGCTCTGCACCACGCGACTGAGGACAAGAACTGTGACTTGCTTTCCTTTCCAGAGCAGGGCGCCGTTGAAAGGAGTGGTAACTGGAGTGGCGTTAAGTGTTGAAGAGGATCAACTGAAGTTGAAGATTCCCGGTGTCTGTGACGTCCTCCGTTTGGTGCGATGCAGACCTGGTGGAGAGCTTGGTGAAACAAAGAAGACACTGTCTGTACTACTGAGTTTTGATATAGAGTCTTTACCAGATAAAGTCAAGTTAGGATGTGTCAGTTATTCCCGTGAGAGCTTTTGTCCTGAATCCATTACGGTGTTTTAGGTGTCAAGCTTATGGTCAGGTGGCAGCAGTGTATAGGAGAGATATTCCTAGATGTGACAAGTGTGCAGGAGGACATGAGACAAAGGAATGTGTAGTATCGGTGGGAAAGGTTGTGAGTGTTAACTGTAAGGGTACCCATGGTGCTGGAGATCAGAGGTGTCTGGTGAGAGAAAGGCAGGTTGAGGTTGCCAGGATCAGAGTAGTGCAGAAGGTGTTGAATGCTGAGGCAGTGAAGAGAGTAGTAGAGGAAGATGGGTCCAGGGTGAGGGATCCTAGGAGGATCCATGTGAGTAGGCCGAAGCCAATAGAGAGTGATAGGAATAACATGTGCTTCAGTAAGCTTGTTTTTTTGGCGTTCATGGCCATGGGTGTCAATTGTACTGCAGGAATGGAACGTAAATCACAGAGGATAGATGTTGTGATAGCAGCTGCAGAGAAGTACTTGGGTGTGCGAGATTTTATTGCAGAAGAATTACAATAAGTTTTGAACAATTGTGTACCATCCTCCCAGGCTGCTGGCCTGGAGTAGGATCAGACAGGGCCAAAGTAGTGGAATAGTGGTGCGGTTTAAATGGGTGCAGGGTTAGCTGGTAGGGCAATTTTTTCACAAAGTGTAAAGAATTCATACTACAGAAAAGTAGGCTGATACACAGCAAATAGAGTAATTGGCGGCATGCACCTATAACATTTGTTTGCGGACCGCCATAATACCAAAGACGAAGAAAAATAAACTACACGCCATTTTGACAACATCCTGCTAACCCAGAGTGAGCTTCCGGTCTGAAAGGAGGTGTGACCGTGACGGGATGATTTTCGGCTGCCATCGCTCAGCCGAACAATCTGGAGAAACAATTCAAGTGTGTGTTGGAGGTCTACAAAAACAGGTATCCCAATACGTGCCTAATAAATCAACTAAATTAATGATTGCATGTAATGTATTTATACACAATCTTTCGAGTGCATTATTTCCAACCACACATGGAGGCCTCCATTGCTAGTTAGCTAGCTAGCTAACATTAGCTGAATGGCTGGCTAGTTAAAAAAAAGAGCTAAGGTTAGCTAACCGGCTAGGTAGCTCATGTTAGTGGGCCAGCAATCATTGCGCTTAGTAGCTAGCAATTTGTGGCAAATTCAGGAAGCTAAAACGTATTTTCTGCAGACATGGTGTTTTAAGTCTGCAAAATAAATCTCGCCTTACTAGTATAACTAGGTAATGTTAGCTAGCGTGCTACACTTGTCCCTTTATGAAAACGGTGTTCACCATGTTGTTTTGGTTGCGCTACAGTGCCTTGTACAATAGGTGTTGACTAACGGTGAAATGCTTACTTACGGGCCCTTCCCAACAATGCAGAGAGAAATAATAACACGAGGAATAAAGACACAATGAGTAACGATAACACTTGTCTATGTACACGGGGTACAAGTACCGAGTCGATGTGCAAGGGTACGAGGTAGATATGTACATAAAGGTAGGGGTAAAGTGACTAGGCAACAGAATAGGTGATAAGCAGTAACAGTGGTCCTCTGTAGCTCAATTGGTAGAGCATGGCGCTTGTAACGCCAGGGTAGTGGGTTCGATCCCCGGGACCACCCATACGTAAAAATGTATGCACACATGACTGTAAGTCGCTTTGGATAAAAGCGTCTGCTAAATGGCATATTATTATTATTATTATTATTATAACAGCAGCGTATGTGATGAGTCAGAAGACTTTGCAAAAGGGGGTCAATGCAGATAGTCGTGGTAGTTATTTGGTTAATTATTTAGAAGTGTTTTGGTTTGGGGGTAGAAGCTTTTCAGTGTCCTGTTGGTTCCAGACTTGGCATCTGTACCGCAGTAGCAGAGAGAACTGTCTGACTTGCATGGCTGGAGTCAGTGACCATTTTTAGGGCCTTCCTCTGACACCGCCTGGTATAGAAGTCCTGAATGGTAGGGAGATTGGCCCCAGTGATGTACTGGGCCGTATATACTACCCTCTGTAGCTCCTTGCAGTCAGATCCCAAGCAGTTGCCATACCAAGCGGTGATGAAGGCAGTGAAGATGCTCTCAATTGTGCAGCTGTAAAACTTTTTGAGGATCTAAGGGACCATGCCAAATCTTTTCAGCCTCCTGAGGGGGAAGAGGCATTGTCGTGCATTCTTCACGACTGTTGTTGTGTTGGATCATTCCATGTCATTTCATCAAACCATGACACCCACCATCTCATATTGTTCTGAAATTGTTTCTGTAGTTAGAAACAGATAAGATTAGCATTCCTGAAACATTATTTTGTTGTAATCTAAGTTAATCTCTGAGAAATTAAGCTAATTGATTGCACCCAAATTGGCCTTTTTAATTTATAGGATTCACATAATATTCAACAAATATAGTACCCAACATCCGATTAAGACCACACTTCTTCCTACCATTGTCCAATAAAATTGTCAAAAGCCACCCACGGACCCCCCCCCCCCCCCCCCACACCACAAAACAATTCCACTCCAACAACTAGTATGCAGGATCAGTTCTCTATGTCTGACAAGTAGTATGGAGCTGCGGATTCATCCTTTGTAATGGTCTCTTGTGTTTATTAAATGGATCACAACATTTTCTTTGCAACTTTGGGTAGAAAACCAATAGCTTTTGCTCAAGATGAAAATACATGTGGTCAATTGTGTGGTAAAGCCAGTCCTCCATGAAAGCAATTCAGTTTGTCCTTCTCTTAGCAACCTAATGCTTCAACACAACTCTCCTTGAATAGACCAACAAATGGAAGCTCTCTGAAACGTGCTATCTGTATGGTGCAATTTTCATATGAAGACTTTTCCTACAAGCACAGAACTTTAATGAAGAAATGGGCTAGTGACTAAAATGTTGCGACAACCCTAATAAAATAATACAATTATAAACCATTGCATTGCAGTCATGTTTTTCAATAAAATTATTACTAATATGTGATTAGTACCTTTAAACCCAATACCATTACAAAACACTATACAGTGTGTGTTTGGGATTTTACCATTGAAGACCATTAGAGAACATTTTATTTTACCTTTATTTAACTAGGCAAGTCAGTTAAGAACAAATTCTTATTTACAATGACGGCCTACACCGGCCAAACCCGGACGACGCTGCGCCGCCCTATGGGACTCCCAATCACGGCCGGTTGTGATACAGCCTTGAATCGAACCAGGGGGTCTGTAGTGACGCCTCAAGCACTGAGATGCAGTGCCTTAGACCGCTGTGCCACATTGAAACCATTAGAACTGCTGTAGGCTAATGGTTTGCTTGTTCGCCAGGAATGGTCTAACTAATCCATACCTTTTTTAAGGGGAAAAAACACAGGGACTGTTTCCTGGACACAAATTAAGGCTAAGAGAAGGACAAACTGAATTGCTTTCATGGAGAACTGGCTTGAACTGTGAGAATGACTGCACAATTTATTTTCATCATGAGCAAAAGCTATTGGTTTTCTACCCAAAGTTGTAAAGAAAATGTTGTAATCCATTTAATAAACACGAGACCAGGGCTGGGTTTCCCAAAAGCATTGCAGCACTAAGATCATCTTAATTCCATTGAAACTAAATGGACGAAAGACTATCTTAGTGCTACAATGCTTTTGGGAAACCCAGCCCAGCAAAATTGATAAAAGTAGCAGGAACAATGGAATCTAGTGGGCAAAACGTGGTACTTTCACACCAGATTCACAGGGGAATTTGAGGAAGGCCCTCAAAATTGTCAAAGACTCCAGCCACCCTAGTCATAGACTGTTCTCTCTGCTACCGCACGGCAAGCGGTACCGGAGTGCCAAGTCTAGGTCCAAAAGACTTCTCAACAGCTTCTACCCCCATGCCATAAGACTCCTGAACAGCTAATCATGGCTACCCGGACTATTTGCACTGCCCCCCCACCCCATCCTTTTTACGCTGCTGCTACTCTGTTAAGTATTTATGCATAGTCACTTTAACTCTACCCACATGTACATATTACCTCAACTAGTCGGAGCCCCCGCACATTGACTCTGCAACGGCACCCCCCTGTATATATAGCCTCCCTACTGTCACTTTATTTTACTTCTGCTCTTTTTTTTCTCAACACTTTTTTGTTGTTGTTTTATTTTTACTTTTTTTGTTTAAAATAAATGCACTGTTGGTTAAGGGCTGTAAGTAAGCATTTCACTGTAATGTCTGCACCTGTTGTATTCGGCGCATGTGACCAATAAAATTTGATTTGATTTGAATACATTACATAGTATGAATAAGCAATACTTCAAGCACCAGCTCCATACTACTTGTCAGACATAGAGAACTGATCCTGTATACTGGTTTTTAGGGTGGGATTGATGCGGGCGGTCTGTGGATGGCTTTTGATAATTTTATTGGATCCCTCATGTCTTACTCATTGTTAGGAAGAATTATAGTCCAAATCGGATGTTTGGTACTATATTTATTGAAGATTATATGAATCCTATAAATTAAAAGGGCCAATTTGAGTGCCATCATTCAGCTTAATCTCTCAGATCAAATTATATTTTAACAAAATAATGTTTCAGGAATGCTAATGTTTCTAACTACAGAAACGATTTCAGAAAGATCTGAGATGGTGGGTGTAAATCCTCAGCCCCTTCGATGTGGATGGGGGCGTGCTCGGCCCTCCGTTTCCTGTAGTACACCATCAGCTCCTTTGTCTTGCTGATGTTGAGGGAGAGGTTGTTGTCCTGTCACCACACTGCCAGGTCACTGACCACCTCCCCTATAGGCTGTCTTATCGTCATCAGTGATCAAACTTAATGATGGTGTTGGAGTCGTGGGTGAACAGGGAGTACAGGAGGGGACTAAGCATTCACCCCTGAGGGGCCCCCGTGTTGAGGGTCAGCGGGGCGGATGTGTTGTTGCCTACCCTGCCAGGTCACTGAATTGAATGTTCATTTCTCTACCATAAGCCGCCTCCAACGTTGTTTTAGAGAATTTGGCAGTACGTCAAACCAGCCTCACAACCGCAGACCAGCCCAGGACCTCCACATCCGGCTGTTTCACCTGCAGGATTGTCTGAGACCAGCCACCCTGACAGCTGATGAAACTGTGGGTTTGCACAACCGAATAATTTCTGCACAAACTGTCAGAAACCGTCTCAGGGAAGTTCATCCGCGTGCTCGTCGTCCTCACCAGGGTCTTGACCTGACTGTAGTTTGGCGTCATAACCGACTTCAGTGGGCAAATGCTCACCTTCGATGGCCACTGGCACGCTGGAGAAGTGTTCTCTTCATGGATGAATCCCGGTTTCAACTGTACCGGGCAGATGACAGACAGCGTGTATGGCATTGTGTGGGCGAGCGGTTTGATGATGTCAGCGTTGTGAACAGAGTGCCCCATGGTGGCGGTGGGGTTATGGTATGGGCAGGCATAAGCTATGGACAATAAACACAATTGCATTTTATCAATGGCAATTTGAATGCACAGAGATACTGTGATGAGATCCTGAGGTCCATTGTCGTGCCATTCATCTACCTCATGTTTCAGCATGATCATGCACGGCCCCATGTCAAAAGCATCAGCTGAAAATGTCCCAGTTCTTCCCTGGCATGCATACTCACCAGAAATGTCACCCGTTGAGCATGTTTGGAATGCTCTGTATCGACAGTACGACAGTGTGTTCCAGTTCCCGCCAATATCCAGCAACTTCGCACAGCCATTGAAAAGGAGTGGGAAAACATTCCACATGCCACAATCAACAGCCTGATCAACTCTATGTGAAGGAGATGTGTCTCGCTGCATGAGACAAATGGTGGTCACACCAGATACTGACTGGTTTTCTGATCCACGCCCCTACTTTTTTTTTTTTAAGGTATCTGTGACCAACAGATGCATATCTGTATTCCCAGTCATGTGAAATCCATAGATTAGGGCCTAATGACTTTATTTAAATGGACTGATTTCCTTATACAGTGAGGGAAAAAAGTATTTGATCCCCTGCTGATTTTGTACATTTGCCCACTGACAAAGACATGATCAGTCTATAATTTTAATGGTAGGTTTATTTGAACAGTGAGAGACAGAATAAAAACAATAAAATACAGAAAAACGCATGTCAAATGTTATCAATTGATTTCCATTTTAATGAGGGAAATAAGTATTTGACCCCTCTGCAAAACATGACTTAGTACTTGGTGGCAAAACCCTTGTTGGCAATCACAGAGGTCAGACGTTTCTTGTAGTTGGCCACCAGGTTTGCACACATCTCAGGAGGGATTTTGCTCCACTCCTCTTTGCAGATCTTCTCCAAGTCATTAAGGTTTCGAGGCTGACGTTTGGCAACTCGAACCTTCAGCTCCCTCCACAGATTTTCTATGGGATTAAGGTCTGGAGACTGGCTAGGCCACTCCAGGACCTTAATGTGCTTCTTCTTGAGCCACTCCTTTGTTGCCTTGGCCGTGTGTTTTGGGTCATTGTCATGCTGGAATACCCATCCATGACCCATTTTCAATGCCCTGGCTGAGGGAAGGAGGTTCTCACCCAAAATTTGACGGTATATGGCCCCGTCCATCGTCCCTTTGATGCGGTGAAGTTGTCCTGTCCCCTTAGCAGAAAAACACCCCCAAAGCATAATGTTTCCACCTCCATGTTTGATGGTGGGGATGGTGTTCTTGGGGTCATAGGCAGCATTCCTCCTCCTCCAAACACGGCGAGTTGAGTTGATGCCAAAGAGCTCGATTTTGGTCTCATCTGACCACAACACTTTCATCCAGTTCTCCTCTGAATCATTCAGATGTTCATTGCCAAACTTCAGACGGGCCTGTATATGTGCTTTATTGAGCAGGGGGACCTTGCGGGCGCTGCAGGATTTCAGTCCTTCACTGCGTAGTGTGTTACCAATTGTTTTCTTGGTGACTATGGTCCCAGCTGCCTTGAGATCAATGACAAGATCCTCCCATGTAGTTTGGGGCTGATTCCTCACCGTTCTCATGATCATTGCAACTCCACGAGATGAGATCTTGCATGGAGCCCCAGGCCGAGGGAGATTTACAGTTATTTTGTGTTTCTTCCGTTTGCGAATAATCGCACCTACTGTTGTCACCTTCACACCAAGCTGCTTGGTGATGGTCTTGTAGCCCATTCCAGCCTTGTGTAGGTCTAGAATCTTGTCCCTGACATCCTTGGAGAGCTCTTTAGTCTTGGCCATGGTGGAGAGTTTGGAATCTAATTGATTGATCGCTTCTGTGGACAGGTGTCTTTTATACAGGTAACAAGCTGAGATTAGGAGCACTCCCTTTAAGAGTGTGCTCCTAATTTCACTCGTTACCTGTATAAAAGACACCTGGGAGCCAGAAATCTTTCTGATTGAGAGGGGGTCAAATACTTATTTCCCTCATTAAAATGAAAAATCAATTTATAACATTTTTGACATGCGTTTTTCTAGATTTTTTTGTTGTTATTCTGTCTCTCACTGTTCAAATAAACCTACCATTAAAATTATAGACTGATAATTTCTTTGTCAGTGGGCAAACGTACAAAATCAGCAGGGGATCAAATACTTTTTTCCCTCACTGTATGAACTGTAACTCAGTAAACTCATTGTTGCATGTTGGGTTTATATTTTTGTTCTGTGTAATATGGTATTGGTTCTGTCCTGTCTCCTCACAGCCACCGTGCCCCGCCGCGGCCCCACCCCAAGCGGAGCTGTCATGTGGCAGGAGGCCCGCAAACATGAGCGCAAGCTGCGCGGCATGATGGTGGACTACAAACGCCGCGGCGAGCGCCGGCGAGAGTACTACGAGAAGATCGTAAGTCACCCAGCGCAGTGTTTGTTTTGCTTTTCTTGTGCATAGCCCATTACACTAATCATCAACATCTGCACAAGTTCATATAATCTGGTATTTTAGTGCTGGGCTGGTACTAAAGCCTTCACACCCTGTAGCTCTCCAAGACCAGGGTTGGTGATTGCTGAATGAGGATTTACCTGCTCTCCTCTCCTGTCCTATTCCTGTTCCCCCTTTCACCCTTTCCTGTCCTCTACAGAAAAAGGACCCGGCTCAGTTCCTTCAGGTTCATGGCCGGGCCTATAAGATCCATCTGGACTCAGCCATAGCGCTCGCCGCAGAAAGCCCCATCAACATGTGAGGAGAGAAACACACAACATGCATACAACACACACAAGACACACGTACATACGTGCCACCATGTCTTACTCTTACATGCACAAACATGATATAACACAAAAAAAATATTTCTGCACACACTCACACCACTTAAGAATACTAATCAAGATTTTATAGTCCCGTGTAGCTCAGTTGGTAGAGCATGACTAAAATGTAAATGTTATGTTCTCTGTTGCTGCAGGATGCCCTGGCAGGGAGATGCCAACAACATGATTGACAGGTTTGACGTGAGGGCACACCTGGACTTCATACCCACCTACACCCCTCCACTCCTCAACACAGCGTAAGTGTGACTGAGGTCTCTCCTTCAGACTGTCTACCTTATTACGCCACTTATAATCATACACACACAGGTTGATTTGTGTTTGTTTGATGAAATGTGATATGAATGGTCAAATGTGTTACGTGGGACCACCGTTTTTCGTCCAACATATTGAAGTGTTCCGTTTCGGTTGCAGCACCCCAGAACAGGAGTCGGAGGAGAGGAAGTGCAACTATGAGCGTTACAGAGGCCTAGTGCAGAACGACTTTGCCAGCAGTGAGTATCCGCCGGTGTTGGTATTGCCATGTCTCTTGTGCCTCCCTCCCAGTGGGTATATTGTTTTTCTCAGTGCTCTGTGTTCTCTAACCTCCTGCTGTCCCTCTGCAGTCTCTGAGGAGCAGTGTTTGTACCAGATCCAAATGGATGAGCTCTATGGTGGCCTGCAGAGACCAAATGAGGATGAGAAGAAAAAGTTTGTCCTATCCCATCTTTTCACAATCTCCACATTCTCTATTTATGGCTTATGTAAGTATCCACTAATTTACAGATTGTTTAGATTGATTATGAATAAGCCCCTCCCTTTTGTTTAGGCTTGCTAAGGAGAAGGCCACCATTGGCTACACGTACGAGGACAGCACTGTTACGGAGCCTGGGGAGGAAGAAGAGAAAGGGGAGGAGGATGACTCTGAGAACAGCGAATCAGAGGAGGACGAGGGCATCCCAGACATTGGTGAGTCCCCATACCTTCTCACCCACACAAGTATGAGTTGTTGGGTTGAATGGACATGGGGCTTGTTTGACATTGCAGCCTACTGCCGACGGACTGATCTACAAATTACCTTGCATCAAAAATAAAATATGATTTGTAGATCAGTCACAATTTACCCATAATGTGTCATGTTGACCGCAATGTTGAACAAGCCCAGTAAATGGTCATGTATGTAGAATGTGTGTATGCATTATTTTCTGATACCACTTTGTCGTGTGTGTTTCAGATGTGGAGGTGGACGTTGACGAGCTCAACGCGGAGCAGGAGTTGGATCTGAACAAGATGGCCACCCCATATGGAATGGCAGAGGGAGATTTTGTCAGGTCAGTCTGCCTGCTCCCATTATAGGCTATGTGTTTCGCTAAATTGTATGTGTTGAGATTACATTATCGCTGGAGGCAATGGAAAAAAGTAACATTTTGCTCTTGGTCTTACATTGCTTCATGTTGCATTTTATGTTTTTTTGCATTTTATGTTTCTAGTAAATGACCAGTTGCTTTCATAGCGTATTTTTAACAAAGGTAAAACAGTAAAATGTTTTCTGTTGTGCACACTGTGTGTTAACTGGCTGACTGTTTGACAGGATGCTGAGGAAAGACAAGGATGAGGTGGAGGCCATTAAACACGCCAAGGCTCTGGAGGCAGAGAAGGCCATGTACTCGGTAAGAAAGAATCGGTGTGTGTGTCCGGTGTGTTGCTGTCATGTCAATGATTGTTGGTAGGCCTATGCTTTCCCCTGATGATGTCCCTGACTGTGTGTGTGTGTGTGTGACCCTCAGGGTCGTCGCTCTCGCAGACAGAGGAGGGAGTTCAGAGAGAAGAGACTGAAGGGCAGACAGATCAGCCCACCCAGGTAAAGAGCAGTTTATACCAGGGTTGGGGTCAATTCCATTCCATTTCAATTCCAGTCAATTCAGGAAGTACACAGAAATTCCAATTCGGTTCAATGCTTTTCAATTAGGAACATTAATAATTTGAATTTGGTTTGCTTTCTGAATTTACTGGAATGAAATGGAATTGACCCCAAACCTGATTTTATACCGTATGGGGTAACTCACCTCATCCACTACCAATGTGTAGCACACACATGGTATGAGACACACTTTCACACCTCTTTAAACCCTTTCTCTGTTTATGATCTCCAGCTATGCCAGGAGAGACAGCCCAACCTACGATCCCTACAAACGGTGAGTGGGAGACCAACCGTTTAACTTTCTGTCAAAGTTTTTCACTTTAAAAGTCCATCTAATATATTTTGACAAGGAAAGTAATGGCACAGTCATGCTTTTGATCAGTGCTAACAACTCATGATGAACTGCTTGCTCGTGAGGTTTGAGGTAACCTTTTAATCAGTAGAGATAACACTGATGATTCTCCCCTCCGGCAGCGGGGCAGGTAGCTTAGCGGTTAGAGCTAGGTTGAATCCCTGAGCCGACTAGGTAGAAATCTGCCCTTGTGCAAGGCACATGATGCGAAATGCATCATACTGTGACACTTCCTGTATTTTGAAAGTTCTGTATCTTGAAAACTTGATTGCTGGCATGGAAAACATTTTGGGGCTGTATCAACAGTGGACTAATTAAACAAATACCAAACGTTTTTGAGTGGAATTTTCCTTTTACCCCTAATTGCTCCAGGGTCGCCGTCAATAATGGCTGATCCCTGGCCTTGACCCCACTCTCCGAGGGTGTCTCAGGGGGAGTGGGATATGCAGAAAACACATTTCCATTTCAAACCACACACTTGTACAGATTACACGCTTGTACATGTGTGAAACAGGACAAATATAAGCACCCCTATTTGATTTGACCTCCTTTCTCTCACCCTCAGGCCCCAGTCTGAGTCCAGTTCGGAGTCGCGGTCCCGCTCCCGTTCCCCAGGCCCAGAGAAGATCACCTTCATCACCAGCTTCGGAGGCAGTGACGAGGAGGCTGCCGCGGCAACCCAAGCTCCACCCCCTGTCCACTCTGGCCACACCCCCGCCAACTCGCTGCACCACCCCGCAGGTCATAGCAGGGGCTCCCGGTCGGTAGCTTTCCCCTTCCGCTTTCCATTGGTTGTTTACTCCTGTCAGTCATGTTGCTGTTCATTGACTACAGCTGTAGAGATTTGGGCTATAGAGATTTGGTAGGTGAAGTGGAGCTCAGATTTAGGTTAGTTTGTTTGACCTGAATAGCTTACAATCCTAGTAGTGTGACATTTTAGAGATGCGTGTTAGTTTGTGCATCCCAAACAGCAAATTCTGCATGTTTATTCTGTGTTATGGTAAATCAATGAGATCCCATGGATCTTAACATTAAAAGCTGCCCTAGACACCTTTTAGTACCACTCTTAAAGGCACCATGAGGTAAGGGAAAGGTATATGGCATGAACGCCATGTGTCTATGTTCAATATGGTTCACAAAGTAGCAGAAATGCTTAAGTCCTGAGTTCTACCTGTGTGTGGTTACATGATAATATTACAAAAAACGTACAGTAGCATTACTAGCAGCCCAACGAGAAATTAAGTAGATCAAACCAGAAATATAAACTGAGTCAAAGCAGACAGTAGGATTAGAGCAGCCCGTGGGTCGTTGCTAATACATCTGTGTGTGTCTCTCTGTTCAGCAGACGCCGCTCTTCCTCCAGCCCTTCCTCCTCTTCCTCCCACTCTTCCACTCATCGCTCCTCCTCTCGTTCCTCCTCTCACTCACGCCGCGACCGACGCCGCGGAGGAGGGAGGGACGGACGACATTCCCGCTCCCGGTCGAGGCGGCGCTCCGACTCGAGGTCCCGGGGTAGAGGAGCCAACGGAGGAGGAGGAGGGGGGTCACGGAGGAGATACGATCGGACACAGTCCCGCTCCAATGACCGAGACGGGGACAGGGACAGGGAGCGAGAACGGGACAGGGACGTGGGACGTCGCTTCACAGCACGCAGACGCACACGGTAAGGCAGCCCAGACAGCCATAAGACTTTTCTAACCTTATGAAAGCAATGTCTTCTTTTTGTATCTTATCACTAAAATAAACGTTTCGATGTTGTGCTGATCATATCCCTCTGCTCTCCTTCCAGGTCCCGCTCTAACTCTCGGCAGGGGGACCGTGCCAGGCCGGGGGGGGGTAGGCGGACTTCAGGAGGCCATCGGAGGGGGGTCAGCAGCAGCCCTAGCCCCTCCCAGTCCCCCCAGCCCAGCTGCACCCCCTCCCCCTCACACAGAGGAGGCCCGCCCTCTGCCACTGCTCTCTGTGACAAGCTGAGAAAGTGAGCACACTGACACCTGCACGCTCACAGACACGCACGCATAAACACACTAGAGGTCTTTCACAGTTTCAAGAAGTTGGACCTGTTCCGAAATAGACCTGGGGCTTTCCCACCCGGACCCGATATGCAGAAATACAATTTCAAATATAAAGACCCGTTCCAAACAGACCCGAGAACAACTAAACCCGTTCCATATAGACCTGCTCGGATCCAGACCCGGTCCGAACCGAGTGAGGGAAGCAGCAGAAAAGTAAATTTTTAAGCTACTTTATAAACCGGAGCTGATAAAGCAAGAGCGGGAGAGAGGGGTAGCTCTCTAGAAGGGGCCGTGCTGTGTGTGTACTCTGAGCGAGTGACACAGGGAGGAGGGATAGAGAGATGAGTCAGCAAACAACCAAACCGAGGGAGGGAGGGACGGGAGACTGCAACGAACCAAGCCAACTTGCGTTATAGTAGATACATGTAGCTGCCATAGCTAGGTTATTCATCATTCAATATGATTACAAATCAACAGTGGCGATTTTAGCATGCAAATCTTGGTGTGGCACAGAATTTTTGGGGGGGATGCATGCCATCAAAGCCACTACACAACACTAAACAATACATGAATTGCACTATAACGGTGACAAACGGTGCCCACAAACTGTTAGGGCCTACATAAAGCTGTCCCAACAGCAGTCCCAACACCTTACCACTGCTACACCTGGCTATCAGCAAATTATTGTCTGGCAGCGAATCAGTTCATTCAGCCTCATTTACTGCCTTTAAAAAACAAACATAGCTGATATGGCTGACTTGCTTAAACAAATGTGACTTGTACTGACAATTGAGATGTACAAACTATGGCAAAAGGGGACTATAACTATTTGTTCAGCACTTTTGAAATGTACAGCAAAGGAATTCAGAACATGGGCCGTTCTTACAGAGTTCTCCCTGTACACCAAGTCAGAACCATAGGATAAATAAAGGGGGCATATAAGCAGACAATGAAAGCTCTTACAATATTTGATGATTACATTTCTCTAAAACAGGTTATAGGCTACATGTGCACCACCAAGTTAGAACAGTAGGCGAAATTAAGAGGGGTAAATAGACCATATTATTAGGGTGAGGCACATGGGCTACTAACAGCTTACTACACAACATATACTTAGTATTATTTACTTAGCTACAGTATACATATCTCCCTGGCATATTACATCATTTATGCAGCAGCATACGATACATTTTTGGACTCACCTTGTGCTGTGCTCACTTGAACAGGAAGGTGGCATGGCAGTCCTTTGTGGGCAAATTTTGTCATCAAACTTTGTCATCAAAGTCTGGCATTCTCTGGATTTATGGTGGGACCAAATATAGGACCAAACACACATCACAACAAGAGAGACAACACAACACTACATAAAGAGAGACCTAAGACAACAACATAGCATGGCAGCAACACACGACAACACAGCAAGGTAGCAACCCAACATGAAACAACATGGTAGCAACACAACATGGCAGCAGCACAACATGGTTGCAGCACTAGACATGGTATCAAACATTATTGGGCACAGACAACAGCACAAAGGGCCAATGAGCACCGATACGTTTTATCTATAATTTCTCTTCATTATTTATCTTCATATGACAAGGATTAAAAAGGATTTGCCAGTAGATTGTCGACTTGATTCATGAGGATGACTGGTAGCTAAGATTTTGAAAGTAATATGTTGACATGATCAGTCCAATCAAAGCTACTGTACATAACGTGATTTGACGTCATTTTATCTGTGGCCAATGACCTTGCGTCTTCTTGGAAGAGCACTTCTAATGTAACTCTATGGCAGGACCCAAAGGGATTACATTTTGGATGTCTACCCTTACTAAGGACTTAGACTTGGCAGTGACGTGGTGTCCCCATGAGTGACAGAACACTGAGCCAATCACGGCTTGCCCCACCACCACAGAAAGCACTGAGCTAGGCTAAAACACCTGCATTTTGGAGCTGTCTTACTCAAGAAAACAAAAAAAGAGACCATGATTGTATGCAGCTTTATTAACTCAGTGATTTTTATATTTTTGACATTGTTTGATATGTGACACGTATTAATGCCAAAATAACATGCAAAACAGGCAATCCCCCCCAAAACTATGAAATAACACATATGGAATCATGTATTAACCAAAAAACTGTTAAACAAATCCAAATATATTTTATATTTGAGATTCTTCAAATAGCCACCATTTGCCTTGATGACAGCTTTGCACACTCTTGGCATTCTCTCAACCAGCTTCACCTGGAATGCTTTTCCAACAGTCTTGAAGGAGTTCCCACATATGCTGAGCACTTGTTGGCTGCTTTTCCTTCGGTCCGACTCATCCCAAACCATCTCAATTTGGTTAAGGTCGGGGGATTGTGGAGGCCAGGTCATCTGATGCAGCACTCCATCACTCTCCTTCTTGGTAAAATAGCCCTTACACCGCCTGGAGGTGTGCTGGGTCATTGTCCTGTTGAAAAACTAATGATTGTACCACTAAGCCCAAACCAGATGGGATGGTGTTTCGCTGCAGAATGTTGTCGTAGCCATGCTGGTTAAGTGTGCCTTGAATTCTAAATAAATCAGACAGTGTCACCAGCAAAGCACCCCCACACCATAACACCTCCTCCATGCTTTACGGTGGAAAATACACATGCAGAGGTCATTCGTTCACCCACACCGTGTCTCACAAAGACACGGCAGTTGGAACCAAACATCTCAAATTTGGACTCCAGACCAAACAACAAATTTCCACCGGTCTAATGTCCATTGCTTGTGTTTCGTGGCCCAAGCAGGTCTCTTCTTATTATTGGTGTCCTTTAGTAGTGGTTTCTTTGCAGAAATTCGACCATGAAGGCCTGATTAACACAGTCTCCTCTGAACAGTTGATGTTGAGATGTGTCTGTTACTTGAACTCTGTGAAGCATTTATTTGGGCTGCAATTTCTGAGGCTGGTAACTCTAATGAACTTATCCTCTGCAATAGAGGTAACTCTGGGTCTTACTTTCCTGTGGCGGTCCTCATGAGAGCCAGTTTCATCATAGCGTTTGATGGTTTTTGCGACTGCACTTGAAGAAACTTTCAAAGGTCTTGAAATGTTCCGTATTGACTGACCTTCATGTCTTAAAGTAATGATGGACTGTCGTTTCTCTTTGCTTATTTGAGCTGTTCTTGGCTCAAACGCATTAAGAAGGAAATAAATGCATTCCAGGTGACTACCTCATGAAGCTGGTTGAGAGAATGCCAAAAGTGTGTAAAGCTGTCATCAGGCAAAGGGTGGCTATTTGAAGAATCTCAAATATAAAATATATTTTGATTTGTTTAACACTTTTTTGGTTACTACATGATTCCATATGTGTTATTTCATAGTTGTGACTTCTTCACTATTATTCGACAATGTAGAAAATATTAAAAATAAAGAAAAACCCTTGAATAAGTAGGTGTTCTAAAACTTTTGACCGGTAGTTTGTGTATATTATTTTATTTGTTTTTTTATTGTATTTATTTTGCTAAAAATGTGGGGCTCAAAACAGGTGGGGCAAATCAAATGTTATTTGTCACATGTTTTGTAAACAACAGGTGTTGACTAACAGTGAAATGCTTACTTTACGTCATACCTGTCTTGACTGCATTAAACTGGGAGAAACTAGTTAAGCTAGCTAGCTTTCTAGGCTAATTGAGGCTGCATGCGCTTTCTCGTCCTACACAGTTCCAAATAACAACTCCATTCAGATTATTAGATAGCAGCCTACCTGTTGGCTCTTGGTCGTTGTCGCCTATCCTTCTCCTTTAACTTTTAATTCCATCGTTTTAATTCCATCTTCCATTGATTAGATATCTCCTCACTTTTGCCACACTCTGAGGCTCTATGACTGTAGCCTATTGCCTCTTTGATGACTTACGATTGGCCAACGACAAGCTACACGTACCACTCTCGTGAAAAGCAAGGGCAGCAGCATAAATGATCCAATTTCTCTCCCTACTGCAGCAGTCGTGTTTGGATCTGTACGGGTCCTTCCAGACAAGTCAGTTAAAATTACACATACCCGAGACCCGTGAAAATCAGATCCCACCCAGACCCGTGATATTTAGAATTCTGGATCTGGATCCGAAACCGCTCGGGTCCCGGATTGGGTCTCTGGTAATCGGGTACAGGTAGATCCGTGTAGACCTCTAAAACACACACATTAACACGGACTCACAAATATGTACATACACACACACAGCCTTCACCCTCACATGCAGTTTTAAACAAACAGCAGCAATGGGTAGCTAATATTTGCCCTAGTCTGTCCTACAGTAGGAGCTCTCTGATGAGAAATTGTGACCTTTTCAGCCCTACTTTTCTCCCTCCCTCTCTCTCTCTTTTTCTCATTTTCTCCCTCCCTCTCTCTCTCTCCCTCTCTCTTTCTCTCCCTCCAGGCCTGATACTCCGGGTGGTAAAGAGACGGGAGCTGCCAAAGTCAGTAAGAATTTGATCTAGCTGGGTTTGTTGCTAAAGTCTACGCCTCCCTCACCCCTGACAGGCTGAGCTGATTGTCCATCAGGCCGGGGATCCCGCCCCCTGAATGCCACTGTGCACACAGATAATGGAAATCATATGAAATGTCTTTTGACTGCCTCTCTCTGTGGAGCTCCCTTTTTAACTGGTGACATTACCTCCCCCCAGAATGCAGTGTAGAGTTAAACCCTTCTCTACTCTGTTTAGAGTGTGGTTACAGGGTTAGCCTGCCTCCAAAGGGCAGAACCTACATTGCAGTGTTGTGTGACAGATACTTTTTCTGACTCATCTTTCCCCTCCTTATCCCTGAATGGACTGGTGTTCCCAGCACCCTTTCTGTCACTTATGTATCTGTCTGTTTTATGGATGGTGCAGTATTCTGCGGCACCTACCGAGCTATGCAGAGTGGTGCGGCAGACCGGAGAGAGAGAGTGTGTGTGTTAGCAGAGGTGTGAGTGTCCCTCAATCTCAATGCTGAGACATTTCACTCTACAGATAGACAACCCATTGTAAAGCTAGTGCCCTAAGACTGAGGGGAAAGCACTGATATGTAATTGTCAGAGGCTCTTAAATGGCTTCCTTGCCTTGTCTCCTCTCTTCCCTCACCACTGATCTGAAAGGACTGGGTAAGTGAAAGCAAAGTAGTAAAGGAAGCCATATATAGAGAGAGAGAGTAGTCTAGAGTCTGGGTGCGTTCCAATGGTCTTAAGTGGCTTCCTCTCCTCGTCCCCATTCTTTCATCTCCACTGACAGTAAAGAACTAGATATGTAAAGGCAAAGTACTGGTAGGCATACTCTATATTATTTTACAGATCAGCTAAAGTGAAGGAGACTCTGGAGAGGAGGCCATTTCAGGCTGTTAATTACACACCTGCTATGTAGTGAGGTCGGAGCTCTCGGATGCATGCAGCTGGTGTGGACAGCAGAGCTGTGAGGGGGCCTGGGCTTGTCTGAGCAGGCAGGAGAAATACACCGCCACACCTCTCCACCTAGGACTAACACTGTTACCTGCTGCTTTCCCCTTAGAGACACGCCACTAGACGTTCATAGCAACCGCTCCAGTACAGGGGATTCACAGGGAAAGGGATGTATCAGAGTTGCTGAATAGAAAGAGAGCGCTAGAGGGAGGGTAAATTAACACTGTAGGCATTTTGGCCTGTAGTATGTGCTTGTCTATCCACGAGCTGAATTCCTACCTGGCCAGGGAGTGTCAGCAGGAATGTACAGAGGCGGGGAGGGCCGCTAGCGCTACTTGTGACCAAAATTGACTGTGTTCTTTCCCTGTTCAACTCTCTTACCCTCTTACCCTTAGCTGTCCTCGCAACATTCACATGTATGTACATGGAAATACATAAGAGATATATACTTAGAGTCCAGTTCCATGTAATGTGATCCTGTCCTGCTACTGTGTACAACAGCTGCAGGCAGCGGGCACAGAGTTCGCCTCTCCTCGCCGCACGTAGCTGTCTCTACCAGTCCAGCAGAGAACAGGACAGGACAGGACAAACAGCTCACATGATTTACGACTGTATACCCCCACCTGACTAACCGTCGCCTTACCAGCTGCTATATGGGGCAATGCTGGTCCTATAGGCGCCCCTGTCCCCATAGTTCCACACATACACCCTGCGCTCCTGCCCTGCGAGTGTGTGTGCTGATGCGTGGTTGTCTCTTACAGCCCAAGATGACCCCGCAGGAGAAGCTGAAGATACGTATGCAGAAGGCCCTCAACAGGCAGTGTGAGTAGACTGACTGGACTCTGTTTGGTCAGTCTCAGTTACAACTCATTTATGCTGTGTTTGTATGTACATATTCATCCTTCCTCTGCTCTTTCGCTCCCTCAGCCAAGGCGGATAAGAAAGCAGCCCAGGCGAAAGTCACTCAGCAGGAAAATAAGCGAGCGGTGCGTGTGTGGAATCGTGTTTGTGAACTGCTAGCCAGCTCCCCATTATAGCATAATGTGTGAAGTTTCCTCTAGAAACAGACAGTGTCCCCCCCTAAGACAGTCCTTTGATCTATGTTGTCGTCTGCCATTGGCCCTCATGGCTGTGTGTTTACTTTGCAGGAGCGCGAGGGAGAGCTCAGAGCCATGGCACGCAAGATCCGCATGAAGTAAGACTGTGTGACCGTGTGTGTCATGTAACAGTGTGTGTGTGACGCTGCGTTGTGGCGCTGTATGACTGTGGTTAAACGGTGGTGTGTGTGTGTTCCAGGGAGCGTGAGCGTCGGGAGAAAGAGAGGGACGAGTGGGAGAGACAGTACGGACGACAAAGCCACTCGCCCTCCCCATCTAAATATGGTGAGTTCAGTGAGTCTCCCCTTACTGTTATATCATTGTTAAATCCATGACGGGAAGTGTTCAATTGCACACTTTGGGAAAAGGGTGTAGAATTGGGATGTAGCCCATAAGCGTGTGACAGTGGCTCAGTACTAGTTGTCAATCAAATTTGATTTGTCACATGCGGCGAATACAACAGGTGTAGACTTTACTGTGAAATGCTTACTTACGAGCACTTTCCCAGCAATTTAGAGTTAAAAGGTAAGAAAATTAGCAAATAAATAGGGAGGTTGTTTTGGGGGGGGGGGGGGGGGGGGGGGGGGTCACTGTGTGACACAGTGGCTCAGTACTAGTTATGACAGTGTTGTTGTTATTGAACTTTCTGGCAGGCTGTTGTGTTGGTCTTTCATCAGAGTATCTGTCCTCTGTCTGTCCCTCAGGTCGCGACCACAGCTCATCCAGAAGGTATGTGAGCAACCACAAGAATGTCCACTGTTGAGGAAGGATGTTGACTCTCACTCACACACATTATCTCAGTAGTGCATCATACTCTCCCTCTGCATTCTGTCACAACTCTTTCTCACACTGTAATGGGGAAATGGAAGATCACTGTAGTTCATATTCAGTTTAGAGTGATTAACACAATGTTTAGCATGTGTATATATTTTCCCTTGATTTCCAGTGTTCTATTTATGACACACATGACATACTCTCTTTGTTCCTTTCTCGCTCGCCCTCTCACACACTTCTATTCAAATGTGTTCTCTCTCCCTCACACTTGCATTCAAACTCTTTGTCCCAATCAAAAACATGAATACTCTCACAGAGGGCTGTCAGTGCTGATGTTAGGCCCCCTCGTCCTTAGTCCTCCCTAGGGATTGTGGGGCCTGCAGTGTGCCTGCCAGGCCGGCTGTGGTAATGGGAGTGGGGACACGCTGAACCCTGAGTCTCAGTACATCAGAAACAGATGAGGCTTAACACTGTCAGTCTCAATACTCTACAGCAGTGCTGCACTTAGACCATGTGTGCTCGACAGACCAATGGTAGATGGTAGTTTAGTCAAATATGATACAAGCTAGCAAGTACCAGCAAATACTGGAGGGCAACTGTTTACACCAGGAAGTATCCAAATGTTGTAAAGAAAGTGATGTCTTGTGTAATAATATGGCATGTCATGTTGGGGGTAGTGAATATACTGTGGGGTCCAAACGTAGCACTGTGTTACCTGAGACTCACTCACACTCTTTTCTCGGGTTTCCAGGAGGTCCCGTTCCCGGTCGAGGAGTCCATATTACCGATACTAAACATACCGTTTGGACCCACCAACTCCCACACCCTCCTCACCCCCTCCTCTGCCTACTCTTCCAGTGAAGAGATGAGAGAAAAGGAGAGAAGTGAGGGACAATGTCCTGAATGGAAGAGGAGTGGGAGAGCGAGACTGAATGAGAGTGAGGTAGAGATAGATTGGGAGATGGAGAGAGGAAAATGGAAGAACTGAATTGGAGGCCGGAGATTGAGATGAGTGACAGATTTGGAAGTTGTTATTGCTGACAGCTTGTCACATCTGGCCACATTTTAGTATATCAGTAATTCTGTATACATATTCTCTCCTTTATGATGGTCTTAAGTTGCTCTTTCCCCGTCCCCTCAATCTCTCTCTCTGAGAAGGGTGTGTTGGCATCACTGTCTATCACATGAATAGGATGTCAAAGAATCAGATTTAAATTTAACCTTCATCTGTGTACATAATTTTCTTTGATAATAAATGAGTGAACATTAATGAAATCCTGAGGGGGTGTATAGCCCCATGTGTGAATATGAAAAATAATTGATCGCTAATGATTTTGGTCTTTTTGTATACCATGCCCCCAACCACTCACCCTGTGAATTGAGACTTAATCTGTTACTCAGAAGAGTACAATCAAGTATTTTGTTTTAGTCCAAATATGATCAGAATTCAAATAAAATGCACAAAAGTATCTGATGTACGTCTATTGGTTTGGTGTGTCTTTACTTGAACGTTATAATCTCTCATACATGCATTATAAATGTGCACAAGGCATAACTGCAACATTTCACTATTGAGGCTTTGTTGAGACAAGAAACAAAGTGTCTTATCCATCACTTGATTAAAGTTGTTTGGGCTTGGTTATATTAAAGTCAGGGACCAAACCAGTAGTTTGGTTATTGTAGCTAAGATTCATTACTGTTTAGCATTTACAATTATACAGTATAATGCATTTTTCGAAATGAGTGTGCTTTAGCCTACTGGTAAGATCAACTCACTAAGTGATGAGTGTGAATGCTGACTTCTTATGTCGCCATTTATAGTCTACTACCCTACTTCTAAGTGAAGTTCTCTTTAAACGTGCCATTTGAAGCAATACTGTTAGCCATCAGGTGGCGCCAAACATCTTGTTTGTCAAATAACCTACCTTTACCACATTTTGTCAGCATGTGTTACATTGTCAAACGTGCTGGTTACATTGTTGCAGCTAGCCATTTACAATGTTTAACACAACTTGTTAGCTGTATTGTCTCCTAACCTGTCTGAATCATTTTCCAAACAAGATAGGCTAGCGCCTTAGTTTGTCTTTGTAAAAGTTTAAGGTCAGGTATATGAGTTTTCCCCGCCACTGTATTGTATGTGCCTTCTGGTGAGTAACAAAAGGAGAACAGTTTACTTTGGTTTCGAAATCAGCCGGACAGCAAAACACCTGTCTTCAGCGGCCTTGTTAAAGCCACTTCCGCCTCACCCACATCCTTAGCAGGCAGCTTTAACCAGTAGGCTGCATTTAGGCTAGGGGTGCAAGGAGGAAGTGGCTGTGCAGCTGTAAGTCCTATTGTTGCTTCCCATCATCCCATGTATTCTGCAAAGTGCATTTTCATATCATTGCATAAAATAGTTCCTGAAAGAAATACGCCACTAATATTGATTACTTATAGAAGCCAAACCAGTCTAGACTATGATGACACCATTGCAGGAGGATTGTGCGTGTATTATTATTATGTTTTCGGTTTTACTATCCTTGTGGGGACCAGAAGGCCTCACAAGGATAGTAAAACGAGGAACATTAGGACAAGTGGAGACATGTTTGCTGGTCCCCACAAGGAAAAAGGCGATTTTAGGGTTAGAAATGGGGTTAGGGGGTTAGGAGTTATGGTTAAGGTTAGGTTTAGGAGTTAGGGGAAATGTTATTTTGAATGGGAATCAATTGTTTGGTCCCTAAAAGGATAGTAAAACTAACTGTGTCTGTGTGTGACATTGTGTAGAGGGCGGGGTCGGGGTCGGAGTAGTATAGTGGCAGGCGGCGCCTAACATGTTGCCCCTGCTTTCCTCCGCTGCGGGGCTGGTAGCCTGAACTTGAACAGTGGCTGGTGCACAGCGAGTCACGACGACATCCCGCCCGTGCCATAGAGCTAGAGTGTAATTTGGTCAAGGCTATTCTTATCAACTTGATACATTAAGTTAGATTCCGATCAGGAGAGTGGATACACCGACAGAACCTTGACTGGTGTAATTAAACAGAATGTCCAGACGCAAACAAGGCAGCCGACCGCAACACCTGAGTGCAATTCAAGGTAAATTGAGAGAGGCTATGGCCATAGTTTACTATTAGGAGGTAGCCTATATGCATGTTATGTATTTCATATACGATGTATTAATGTTAAACTTTGTTTTTGTGGGGTTGTATCAGTCAGGTTATGTGGGTATGCGCACCTTGACATTGAAGTTGAATCATTGATAAAAGTTTATCTTTTTTTTTTTTAAAGAGCTGATATATGTAGGCTACACTCAGGTTTGCAACAAATACAGTTACAATCAATGACGTGTTCATAGGCTACACATAAATGGTCGGTTTAAGCATAGGTAATCAATATACACATTTTTGCTCTGGGGGGGACACTGCTTTATTCCTTGCTGGCCCCGTATATTTTTTTTCTAGTTTTTCTTTCTGTCTTGTCTGTGAAGCCTGTTTGAATTATCACCTCTTTTGCCAACATGAGCGCTTCCTTGTGGGGCAGACCGCGTGCTCTAGACTCTGTACCCGTGTGACAAGACGAGAGAGAGGAGATGATATAGTCTGCCCTCACAACAACTCCACTGACCTCTTCCACTTATCAGTTTCATCCAAATATATCCTAGAGACCCCATTCACTTAACTTGGGAATAGGCATATGTAGGCCATCATAAAGATCTATAGTTTTATATCAAAATGATACAGGCTCTGGTTAAGGCACGGGTTATTTGATGAGATCGCTTTTCTTCTCCCGGGCACTGTGGGCAGGCGTTTACAAAAACACTGAAATGCTCTGAAACAACATGTCTCTTTCTCTGTTTCCCCAACGAAGACCAGTAGAGCGTGCCTAGTTTGACCACAAGCCTTGACTCTTCATAGTGTGCGTGCAACCGCGCCTAGCTTGTCTGCACAAACAGCGAGCAGCAGCACTGAAACAGGAAAGGTTACATTTTTTAGTAACCACCGGTGAGCTCCTCAGCGCGACTGTACTGTCTGTACCTGTCCTGTACTCGGCCTAGTCCGGGCAGGTGAAGCCCGTCAAAGCGTTAAGGTGTGTACATGACCGTATTGACTCACTCCCTCCCTCAACTCTCACAAGTCGATAAAAGAGTGGTGAGGACCAGTCAAACAACGTCTGGAACAAGTCAAACCTGACCAACGGTCATTAACCATCCTTGCCTTAGCTGAGTCTACATGGGTCATAAATGAGTCATGGACATTTTCTTTTGTAGCCTACGTTTATGGCTCTGATGAGATAGACAGAAATTGGACTTGAATCTGAAACTAGACTACATCCCTGAGAGGTGCTAAAATGTAAACCACACATTTCATTTTAGTAATCTCATGTAAGACTCATAACTCTCTTTAGTGATAATGGTTAATTTGGCCTCAAGCCCTGAGTGACTCAGAACATCTTCAAGTCATGGCCACTCACTTTCTTACTGAAAAATGGGTCAGTTCCTTGCCTAGTTGCACTCACTTGAGTTGTTGATGATGATTGAGAATGTGTGTTGACAGGTGTGAACGTTTTTTTTCTCCAGGCCTTGGGAATTGTATAATTTAAAAATATACAGTACCAGTCCAAAGTTTGGACACACCTACTCATTCAAGGGTTTTTCTTTATTGTTACAATTTTCTACATTGTAGAATAATAGTGAAGACATCAAAACTATGAAATAACACATATGGAATCATGTAGTAACCAAAAAAGTGTTAAACAAATCAAAATATGTTTGAGATTCTTCAAAGTAGCCACCCTTTGCCTTGATGACAGCTTTGCACACTCTTGGCATTCTCTCAACCAGCTTCATGAGGAATGCTTTTCCAACAGTCTTGAAGGAGTTCCCACATATACTGAGCACTTGTTGGCTGCTTTTCCTTCACTCTGCGGTCCAACTCATCCCAAACCATCTCAATTGGGTTGAGGTCGGGGGATTGTGAAGGCCAGGTCATCTGATGCAGCACTCCATCACTCTCCTTCTTGGTCAAATAGCCCTTACACAGCCTGGAGGTGTGTTTTGGGTCATTGTCCTGTTGAAAAACAAATGATAGTCCCACTCATCCCAAACCAGATGGGATGGCGTATCGCTGCAGAATGCTGTGGTTGCCATTCTGGTTAAGTGTGCCATGAATTCTAAATAAATCACAGACAGTGTCACCAGCAAAGCACCATCACACCCCCTCCTCCATGCTTTATGGTGGGAACCACACATGCAGAGATCATCCGTTCACCTACTCTGCATCTTACAAAGACACAGTGGTTGGAACCAAAGATCTCAAATTTGGACTCATCAGACCAAAGGACAGATTTCCACCGGTCTAATGTCCATTGCTCGTGTTTCTTGGCCCAAGCAAGTCTCTTCTTCTTATTGGTGTCCTTTAGTAGTAGTTTATTTGCAGCAATTCGACCATGAAGGCCTGATTCACGCAGTGTCCTCTGAACAGTTGATGTTGAGATGTGTCTGTTACTTGAATTTTGAAACATTTATTTGGGCTGCAATCTGAGGTGCAGTTAACTCTAATGAACTTATCCTCTGCAGCAGAGGTAACTCTGGGTCTTACTTTCCTGTGGCAGTCCTCATGAGAGCGAGTTTCATCATAGCGCTTGTTGGTTTTTGCAACTGCACTTGAAGAAACGTTCAAAGTTCTTGAAATGTTCCGTATTGACTGACCTTCATGTCTTAAAGTAATGATGGACTGTCGTTTCTCTTTGCTTATTTGAGCTGTTCTTGCCATAATATGGACTTGGTCTTTTACCAAATAGGGCTTTTGTATACTTTTGTATCTTTTGTATACCCCCCCTACCGTGTCACAACACAACTGATTAGCTCAAACGCATTAAGAAGGAAAGAAATTCCACAAATTAACTTTTAACAAGGCACACTTGTTAATTGAAATGCATTCCAGGTGACTAGCTCATGAAGCTGGTTGAGAGAAGTCATCAAGGCAAAGGGTGGCTACTTTGAAGAATCTCAAATATGAGATATATTTTGATTTGTTTAAAACATTTTGGTTACTACATGATTCCATATGTGTTATTTAATAGTTTTGATGTCTTCACTATTATTCTACAATGTAGAAAATAGTAAAAGTAAAGAAAAACCCTTGAATGAGTAGGTGTATCCAAACTTTTGGCTGGTACTGTAATATTTTTTACTCACAACACCAATAGAGACAGGAAGCAATGATGTCAGTGAATACATGCCACTGTGCAGCCTGCCATCTCAGTGAAAGGAGCTGTCAAAGGGTTAGTTAGGGGGAATTGGTCAGTATCGGCAGACCGGAATAGCCTGACTCCCTCTATAGCTCTGGTGGAGGGGCTCAGCATCAAAAGTAGCATAAAAAAAAAACTGGGAGGGGTAATTTTCTCTGAGGGCCATATCAGCAGTTGCCCAATCATCATGGTGTCTGACCACCTACTGTCTCCCTGTTGTTGTAAGATCTTACAGAATGACATGAAGGAAAGAATATACAAGTTCTTAATAATTGCTATTTTCTTAAATGTTCCTTTTGACTTTCTCCATCTTCCTCTCTCTGTCTTTGCCACCTTTCCCGTATCACTCCCCTGCCCTAATTTCTTTCTCACTTTCCCCCACTTCTTTCTCTAACACTCCCTAACTCGTCTCTCTCAGATGCCCCTGAGCCCTCGGATGCTGCCGCTCCTTCATCATTGGAGGAGTGGGGGTCCCTTCCCCAGGTCAGGGGTCGTGAGGAGGGTCGTGACCTGCTGACCTGTGGGCAGTGCAGCCAGGCCTTCCCTCTCGCCCACATCCTGGCCTTCATCCAGCACAAACAGGGAGCCTGCCGCTCCCGAAATCATGCCCCCAACACTCACACACCTCCTTCCCCAGCCAAACGGACACAGCGACGCGGTGCTGTCACTCAGGTAGAGGCTGGGTTCGTGGAGCTGAGGAGAGTGACGGACAGGTCCAGAGGGGAGGAGCATAGTGTGAAGGTGGAGCCTAACAGAACAGGTGAGTGCCTGCAGGTTCCTAATTAGAGACTTTTTTTTTTCTGGCTTTTGTTATCTTCTCCCCCGCTACTTCTAACAACTGTCCCCCCCCCAGTCCAGCTCATTAGCTGGGCGTTGCTGTGCTGCGGAGGCCTCTGTGAGTTAGTGACGCGCTGGGTAATTGTGTGGAAAGGATAGGCAGCAGTGTTTTGAGGCCCCAGGGGGCCCCTGAGGGCTCCAATGCACCTGAGCTCCCCTCCATCTCCTTGACTCTGTCTCTCTCAGGTGAAGTGGCCAGGTAAACACGTAGGGCAGGGCACAGTGCTCTCTGGCCACGTAATAACATGGCCTGCACTCACTGGAGGATTGGCTGTGCTGAGCTGAGGGGGACAATGAGATGGGGTCACAACCGGGTGGTCATACTTAATTACAAAATGTTTAAAAGGATAATGTCACCATCGTTCTGGTGTGTTTGCATGGCTTCTGAGTGCAGGTGTATGTTGTCCATCAGATGGGCATCCCAATCATCTGCATTTTGAAAGTAGATAGTTCAGTGATACTTTCTCCCCTTGTCTCCTCACCCTCATCTTTACTGAGCTGAGAACAGGTGTGAGAAAGGAATGTGCTTTCATCGGTCCAGAGATGGGAGGAATGGAGACAAGTGAAGAACACCAACTTATGACTATTGAGATGCACCCATGGTTTCCTTCCTTGTCTCTCCTACCTAAGAAGCTTTCTACTGGGCATCTGAAGCAGAACTACAGTGCCTTGCAAAAGTATTCATCCCCCTTGGCGTTTTAACTATTTTGTTGCATTACAAACTGTAATTTAAATTGATTTTTATTTTTATTTCATGTAATGGACATACACAAAATAGTCAAAATTGGTGAAGTGAAATTTAAAAAATAACTTGTTTACAAAAATTCTAAAAAATAAATGGTGGAAAAATGGTGCGTGCATATGTATTCACCCCCTTTGCTATGAAGCCCTTAAATAAGATCTGGTGCAACCAATTACCTTCAGAAGTCACATAATTAGTTAAAGTCCACCTGTGTGCAATTTAAGTGTCACATGATCTCAGTATATATACACCTGTTCTGAAAGGCCCCAGAGTCTGCAACACCACTAAGCAAGGGGCACCACCAAGCAAGCGGCACCATGAAGACCAAGGAGCTCTCCAAACAGGTCAGGGACAAAGTTGTAGAGAAGTACAGATCAGGGTTGGGTTATTAAAAAATATCAGAAACTTTGAACATCCCACGGAGCACCATTTTTAAATCCATTATTAAAAAATGGAAAGAATATGGCACCACAACAAACCTGCCAAGAGCCAACCAAAACTCACGGACCAGGCAAGGAGGGCATTAATCAGAGAGGCAACAAAGAGACCAAAGATATCCCTGAAGGAGCTGCAAAGCTCCACAGCGGAGATTGGAGTATCTGTCCATAGGACCACTTTAAGCCGTACACTCCACAGAGCTGGGCTTTACGGTAGAGTGGCCAGAAAAAAGCCATTGCTTAAAGAAAAAAACAAGCAAACCCAAAAGGCATGTGGGAGACTCCCCAAACATATGGAAGAAGGTACTCTGGTCAGATGAGACTAAAATTGAGCTTTTTGGCCATCAAGGAAAACGCTATGTCTGGCGCAAACCCAACACCTCTCATCACCCTGAGAACACCATCCCCACAGTGAAGCATGGTGGTGGCAGCATCATGCTGTGGGGATGTTTTTCATCGTCAGGGACTGTAAAACTGGTCAGAATTGAAGGAATGATGGATGGTGCTAAATACAGGGACATTCTTGAGGGAAACCTGTTTCAGTCTTCCAGAGAGTTGAGACTGGGACGGAGGTTCACCTTCCAGCATGACAATGACCCTAAGCATACTGCTAAAGCAACACTTGTGTGGTTTAAGGGAAAACATTTAAATGTCTTGGAATGGCCTAGTCAAAGCCCAGACCTCAATCCAATTGAGAATATGTGGTATGACTTAAAGATTGCTGTACACCAGCAGAACCCATCCAATCCAGTTTTGCCTTGAAGAATGGGCAACAATCCCAGTGGCTAGATGTGCCAAGCTTATAGAGACATACCCCAAGAGACTTGCAGCTGTAATTGCTGCAAAAGGTGGCTCTACAAAGTATTGACTTTGGGATGGGGGTGAATAGTTATGTACGCTCAAGTTTTTTTGTCTTATTTCTTGTTTGTTTCACAATAAAAAATATTTAGTATCTTGTGTAAATGAAATGATACAAACCCCCCCCAAATCAATTTTGATTCCAGGTTGTAAGGCAAAAAAAATAGGAAAAATGCCAAGAGGGGGGGGGGGGGGGGACTTTCGCAAGCCACTGTATGTAGGCAGTAAGAGGGGGCCTAAACTCACAGTATGTAAAGGTCATGTATTTAGAAGTGAACAAGCAAGTTCTCATCCGTCTGTCTGAACCCTAGAAATATAATCTCTAGATTCTATTAAAATGGTCTGAATGACTCTGATTAGATGAGACTTAGGGCGGCAGGTAGCCACTGTTAGAGCTGCAGGTAGCGGTGAGAGCGTTGAGCTAGCAACCGAAAGGTCGCTTGTTTGAATACTCAAGCCGATCAGGTGAAAAATCGGTCAATGTGCCCATGAGCAAGGCACTTAACCCTCATTTGCACCAGGGGTGCCATACTTCTATGGCTGACCCTGTAAAACAACACATTTCAGTGCACCTATCCAGTGTATGTGACAATAAAACATAATTTCTTTAATGTTTTGTTCATATGCATATTTTTGGAACTGAGACCCTTACACATGCGCACTCTTTCTCACACACAGACACACACAGCCACTTGCACTTCCTTCCTTTGTGTAACGCTCAGGGGACTTCTGCATGCTCTGTTTCCGTCTGTCCACATCGTTCTCTTGTTTTTCTCTTTCGGTCTCTTCTCTTGCTGCCTGTTTTTCATGTTCTCTCTCGCTTCTCTTTCTCGCTCTCTGTCTCTATCTCTCGGTCTCTCGCTGCCTGTTTTACATGTTCTCTCTCTCTCTCGCTCGGTCACGCTCTCTCTCTCTCGCTCGGTCACGCTCTCTCGCTCGGTCACGCTCTCTCTCTCGCTCGGTGTCTCTCTCTCTCGCTCGGTGTCTCTCTCTCTCTCTCGCTCGGTGTCTCTCTCTCGCTCGGTGTCTCTCTCTCGCTCGGTGTCTCTCTCTCTCTCGCTCGCTCGGTCTCTCTCTCGCTCGGTCTCTATCTCTCTCTCTGAGTTTTCTATTCTTCGTGCCCACAGGCTTACACAACAGAGCTACGCACGTGCACTACCCAAGAGCTGTACCGTATCTCCACCAAGCAATACAAGATCACTTTTAATAACGAAATCAGTCACTGGTGCATGAAAACATGTATCTAATGTCGATCACCCGTTTTTAGAGTTCAGATTTGTCCTTTAAAATGTTAGGAGGTATTTGTGGAAAAGACCTAGGTTGAAATGTGTTGAACTCTTTATGTATGTGTTGTTGGTGCAGTGGTCACAAAATGTCAGTTAGATTTTTGTTTACGCTGTATTGTATGTTAAAAACCCAGTGCAGTCAAAAACGTGATTTTCCTGTGTTTTATATATATTTCCTCACTGACGTTAATAATAATACGGTGATATTGTGAAAATGAAGACAATGCCCTATTAGTGTGAGAGCTGTTTAAAAAGACCACCTGAAATTTCTGCCTGTTTTGGTGGGATGGAGTTAGGCCTGCCTAGTGACATCACCAGGCAGTAAATTAGTTAATAGACCAATGAGAGAGTTCCCAACCTCCCTGCCAATAACAGCTAGTTTTCAGTTTTCCCTCCCACTCACACTCCTAGACAGTCCTAGCAAAATTATTGCTTGATAAATTGCTCTTTGCTAAGAAGCAATTTAGTTTATTTTGACCATTTTAATTGAAAACAATCACAGTAAGGCACTACATTTTTACTGAGAAATTATTTGATATTGAAATAAAAAGGTCTTTATTGGACCTTTTTTAAGTAACTCAAGTTAAACGTTTTGTATGTGGAATGCTATGATTTGATACAGTACTGTATGTGCTATGTGTTGTTGGTTTATCTGACCCACAACAGGAAGGAGAGTGAATATGCAGTAGCGGTGCATTGGTAAAATCACTGGGGAAGCCATGCCTAAAAAAAACATTACAACCTATGTGTTGTGATAATTGCATTGTTTGCTCTATAACCTGTTAGTTCATATGCCTTGAGACCATGATATATATGCAGTGAGGGGAAAAAAGCATTTGATCCCCTGCTGATTTTGTACGTTTTCCCACTGACAAAGAAATGATCAGTCTATAATTTTAATGGTAGGTTTATTTGAACAGTGAGAGACAGAATAACAACAAAAAAATCCAGAAAAACGCATGTCAAAAATGTTATAAATTGATTTGCATTTTAATGAGGGAAATAAGTATTTGACCCCTCTGCAAAACATGACTTAGTACTTGGTGGCAAAACCCTTGTTGGCAATCACAGAAGTCAGACGTTTCTTGTAGTTGGCCACCAGGTTTGCACACATCTCAGGAGGGATTTTGTTCCACTCCTCTTTGCAGATCTTCTCCAAGTCATTAAGGTTTTGAGGCTGACGTTTGGCAACTCGAACCTTCAGCTCCCTCCACAGATTTTCTATGGGATTAAGGTCTGGAGACTGGCTAGGCCACTCCAGGACCTGAATGTGCTTCTTCTTGAGCCACTCCTTTGTTGCCTTGGCTGTGTGTTTTGGGTCATTGCCATGCTGGAATACCCATCCACTACCCATTTTCAATGCCCTGGCTGAGGGAAGGAGGTTCTCACCCAAGATTTGACAGTACATGGCCCCGTCCATCGTCCCTTTGATGCAGTGAAGTTGTCCTGTCCCCTTAGCAGAAAAACACCCCCAAAGCGTAATGTTTCCACCTCCATGTTTGACGGTGGGGATGGTGTTCTTGGGGTCATAGGCAGCATTCCTCCTCCTCCAAACACAGCGAGTTGAGTTGATGCCAAAGAGCTGGATTTTGGTCTCATCTGACCGTAACACTTTCACCCAGTTCTCCTCTGAATCCTTCAGATGTTCATTGGCAAACTTCAGACGGCCCTGTATCTGTGCTCTCTTGAGCAGGGGGACCTTGCGGGCGCTGCAGGATTTCAGTCCTTCACAGCGTAGTGTGTTACCAATTGTTTTCTTGGTGACTATGGTCCCAGCTGCCTTGAGATCATTGACAAGATCCTCCCGTGTAGTTCTGTGCTGATTCCTCACCGTGCTCATGATCATTGCAACTCCACGAGGTGAGATCTTGCATGGAGCCCCAGGCCGAGGGAGATTGACAGTTCTTTTGTGCTTCTTCCATTTGGGGGGCTGTTTCGGATGCTTTATCCGGTGAGAGACCACATTCAGCCTTTTGCGAATTGAAGGAAAATTATGAAACACAGACAAACAATTAATTATTAATTATTTTTCTTGGTAAATGTTTAGGGGAAGCCTGGCTTCCCTTGACATCCATGAATACATGCCACAGTGAATATGTCTGCTTGAGGAAGATGACTCAAAGTGAATGAGCAGTTATGCCACAACGGATAGGTGTGTGTGTATGTGATAGAGAGAGGTGGAGAATGGAAGAACGAGATCGATTATCATGCCATGACGTTATTCTACTTGTTTGTTTTTTTCTCATCTCTAACATTATTCTCCCCCCCACCCCCCCCCATCTTCAACAGACTCTTGCTTGCCCTCTTTCAATCTCCCCCTACACTCTTTTCTCCTCTCTCTTTCTCCCTCGGGAGAAGAGATTCTGCCTGCTGCTCGTTAGTGCTCCTAGCCAATCTGCATTTTTAATTAGCAGTTATTGCTTCTGCTTAATATTCCTACCCGGGCCAAATGGGAATCCTTACAAAAAAGATGGAGAGTGAAAGAAAGAGCGAATGAGAAACCGTCTGGGTATTGTGTTTCCCTCCAGGACCCCGAGACAAAAGCCCCCCCTCGGGGAGAGATTTGGGGGGGGGGGGTGGGTCTGAAGCACAATCCAAGGGGTGACATATTTTTGTGGTGTTTCTCGACCCACATTGCTACATCCTTTTTGATCTTTGTCCCGCTTTCCTTATCTTATCAACTTCTCTCCTACTCTACTCATCTCTTCAGGCTAAGTTAAAGGATGTATCCACCATGTCTCCTATCCTCTCCAGGCAGAGAGAGGGAGAAAAAGAGTTGCTTTCTCTTTCATATTATCTCTCCTCCCCCGCCAGTAAAATACAGAAGGATTTTGACTTCAGGAAACATGAAAGCGGCTTATACCAGAGTCAGCTTTGAACCTTTACAAAAAATAGAACTGTTTTCCCCCTCAATTTGAGGATCTTCTTTCCAATTTAGATTTATGCAGAAAGGCCTCATTTGTCAAGCCGGCTGAGTCAGTCCCTGATTTACATAAAGCCTTCGTTTTCTCAGTTCCGCTAATTAGCAATTTGCAGCTTAATTGGAGAGTGGCTCTCGGTTAAGAGACAGCTAACTACGTTTAAAAATAATGTCTCTAAAAACTACCCATCTCCCCTTTCTGCTGGCCTCAGTCTCTGTCATTCATCTCTCGCCTACTTCTGGTCCAATCAACAGCCTTCGCTATCTCCGTGTCCATCTCTCCTTGGCTTCTGTCTCAAGAAGGAAGATAAGGCAGGAAGAATGCATTTTTAAAAGTATTTCAACTTCAGACTACCTTGTCCTGTAGACTTGACCCAAAGAGTGTTCAGTATCTTCCCTCTTGCTGTAGTCACTCATTCTTCACTGAATAAACAGGTTTAGTGTATCTCTGCACCTAACCACTGCCCTAACCAGACTGCCTTTTCGTGCTGTGTTCCTTTTGTATTCTCAGTATTCTGCTATCACAGCCTGGCTACCCACAATCGTTCCTACTGTCTGATGTGTGCTGTTTTAATAAAACCTATTGAGATCCCTTACATTTTTCAGGTCAAGAAAATGTTTCCGCTAATGCCTTTTGGCTTGCTTACTAACTGTTTGTGTTGTTTCTGTAGCAGAAGAACCGTCCTGCTTCACCTGCCAGCTGTGTGAGTGTGTGTTTCCCTCTGCCTGGGCCCTGCTCCAACACGCCCAGCACACACACTCCTTCAGTATCTACCAGGAGGACGGAGAGAAGGATGAGGAGAACATGGGAAGAGGGGGTCACCAGTACTCCAAACCTGCAGCCACCTTGGATCCCTGTCAACTGAGCCACACCCTGGCCACCGCCTTCCACCCTTCCGTTCTGCGTCTGCCCCGCATCTTCCGTCCACGGCAGAACCACAGGCCAGCTTCTCAGGCCAGCTCCACCCCTTCCTCCAGAGAACGACAGGCCCTCAACTTCTGTCTGAGAGAGCTGGCTGAGGGCAGTAACACCACCGCTGGAGGTCTGGTCTCCTCTCCGTCGCCATCCCCCCCGGCCGTCTCTTCCTCCCCCCAGTGTGGGCCCGTCCAGGCGGGGTTTCCCTGTGAGCTGTGTGGCCAGGGCTTCCATTCCCTACGCAGCCTGTCAGCCCACCGCAGGACCCACGCATGTGAGCGGCCCTACCACTGTGGCTTGTGTGACCAGGCCTTCGCCCAGAGTGGTCAGCTGGCTCGCCACATGAGGAGTCACCGCAGAGAGACAGGCGTGGGTGGAGGAGGGGGCTACGAGGGGGTGGGGCTGGTAGGGGAGGATGAGGGGGGTCGGCAGGGGATGAGAGGGAGGTTTGTAATGCAGGGGGCAGGAGAGGGGATGTTGAGTAGAGGACCAGGGGAGAGGGAGACCTCTGAGTTGGACCTATCCCTGTCCAAGCATCACTCCCCAGGCTCTGGGCTGATCCTGCTCTCCTCCCAGCCTGGAGGTCCAGACATGAGCCTGCTCAGGCTGTTCCAACCCCAGGGAGAAGTGGTGGAGGATGAGGTGGAGGGACAAGAGGAGCCCCAGCACGCGTCCCCCTGCGCCAGCCCCTCAGAGGGGTTCACTGGAAAGCGGAGAGACGGGGGGCAGCGGGGAGAGTGGCATTGCCAGCGGAAACTGCACCCCCAAACAGCCGGAGAGGGAGGACAGGGCTCAGGTAGGGGGGGAGTGGGAGAGCGAGAGGGACGGAGAGATTGCGGATGGAGAGAAGGAGTGGCTTGCAGGCGGAAACCGCAAGGTGGTCCAGGAGTGGCAGAGGGAGAGCGAACAGAGGGGAGGAGGAGGAAACAGCGTCATCAGCAGTAACAGTGGTAACAACGACGTGGGGTCAGGGAAGAAGAAGAAGGAGGAGGCCTGTGAGTACTGTGGGAAACATTTCCGGAACAGCAGCAACCTGACGGTGCACCGGCGCAGCCACACGGGAGAACGACCCTACCAGTGCGGCCTGTGCAGCTACGCATGTGCCCAGAGCTCCAAGCTCACACGCCACATGAAGACCCACGGCTCCCACGGGGCCCGTGCCCCGTTCCTGTGCCAGCTGTGTGGAGTGCCCTTCACTGTGTATGCCACCCTGGAGAAACATCTGAAGAAGGTGCACGGGCTGAGCCATGCCAGCGTCGGGACCTACACACAGGCCAGCGCAGCTGATGCCAACTGGGCCCTTGTCAAAATGGATGATGGGGTGGTCATCAAGATGGAGGAGGATGAAGCCAGTACGGACCAGACAGAAAACAACATGGCTGCCATGGAGGAGATGGGAGTGGAGGCTGAGGAGAACCTGAAAGGGAAGGTGGATGGTACTGTGAGCCCAGCCATAGTGGAGGATAGTGTGGGTGAGCTTCCTACTGAAGGCAGTGCGGACGTGGGCTTGGCATAAACTACTGGTCCACCACATTCGTCATATCACACTTTTGTACACTGACTAAGACATTCAAAAGCACTGGTTTGGACTCTCAATCATACCAACCACTTTGACCAATATAAATATCCATATAATTGTAATGAACCTTTCCTAGCACTCAACTGGGGATCAATTCAAACTGGAATCTAGGTACCAACCCTGTCTCCTCTTAATTCCGTATCTGTGCAATGCTGAGGTACATCACGTCTTGACAGAGCTGACAATTAGCATATGCAAACCCGCCTACTTAGACAATAGCACAAAACCCTGGCATGCAATGGAAAGGAGGAGGGCGAACAGGAAGTCAACCACCACAGTCCACCAAAACACAGGAAGTTGATCACCATGCTCCAGCAGAATATAGAAAGTGGACACCAGTGGTCAATTGATTGGTTCACTCAGTCAACATACTAGTGATGATTACCAATCAAACCTGAGAAATGTAGAAAGCAAAAAAGGGTTTGTAATTATTTGTATTTTTTATTTATTTATATCTAGTGGCAAGAGATTACTATGATAGTGAGGCTTTCATATCCTGTTCCATGGCTGTGGTGACAACTGGCATGGTGGGTCGAAGGGGAAACAAACCCAAACATAGGTTGCCTTTCTCAAAGTCTCCTTTTTAAATGTGCTTTTGTCACAACACCTGCTACTTAATGTAAAGTTTACGAGGCTCGCGAGGCCCAGCAAAGTTGTGTTGTTCCTCTTTGTGTATGGATGTTATTTTTATAAATGTGTATGTCATCTGCTGAAGTTTTCCTTGCTTAGCTCCTATGCATAAGAAACTGCAATTTAACTTCATATGAAACAGGTGTGGATTTATTTCCTTTTGTACTTGATAATTTGGGGATCTTTTTCTTTCCTTTGTTTACACTCATAAAAAACGCTGAACAGCTTGAAGCTTATGTATGCATGTTTTGCTGCCATTTGAAATGGTTTGCTCTGTTCTTTTCTTCTCCTGTGTTTTGAATTTGTCCTTATTTATGGGCAATGCATGTTAGTGGTTGGCAAATGAAAAGTCTATCTACTGCTAAACTACAGGGTGGAGCGCTACAGTAAATGGCTTGTTGATAGGTGGGAGAGTTTTGTGGGTAACATTGAATGAGTGTGTATGTATGTATATGTGTGTATATGTGTGTGTGTATATATATATACACACATACAGGGAAAGTCTTTAGTAACACTTGACTTGAACCTTCGGTCAAATGCCTAGCTAACTACATCTGAAACATGACATAACAAGTCATAAGCAAGCTGTTTTATTTGCTTGGAAACTGAGCCTATGCCAACAACGATGCAAGCAGCGAAAGGCAAGATAATTGTGGCTAACCTTTAGCTACATTTACCATAGTGGCTGAGAACATGGTTTGAGTGAAGTGTCACTAACTATTTTGTGACTACTGTGATTTACATTATCATTGATGTCAGTATACACTGATGGCAGGGAACCCTTCTTTTTTTGACACTTTGAAAAAACAATTCTATGCTTTGTGTATGAAATTAGTGATAGGGTAAAATGTGAACGATTGGTGGACGTGAGCGGAGTATACTTGTTCAGGGACCAATGTTATGTACGTAGAATGGCACTCCTACATGTAGATGTCGTTGCCATTGTTCTCATCAATTGACTGTATGCCTCAAACTCATTTTCCCAGCATTCCTGGTTTTCTGTCTGTGCTGACTGCAATGAGGCTAACTACACCACTGTCTTTGTAAACTTGACACCATTTTGTCATTGACCCTATTATGAGGAGTCTCATTAAAGAATTGAGGCAAAGTGATCTCTCTGTGTGCTCATGTGCGTTTCAGTCTCACACAGTGTAGGAATGGCCAAACCGGCTCCTGAAAGACAAAGGCAACAACATCAGACGGATGTAAACAAGCATAGAGGCTCCCTCATCCAGTGCTGTGACATTAAACATCCATAACTCTGGATGATTTGAGTCAGTCCACAGAGAAACGACCTACACAGATCAAACTAACACCAAACGAAAGAGTTTCTAAAAGGCAGTGACAGGACTCAATCTGTAGGCCAGTTGAACTTTATGTAGTATGGGTATGAAGGCTACATATCCAGGGAATTGGGATGGGACAGGGGCAAGCTGGAAGGTTTCTAGGGGTACTGGGTGCCAGGGGGTTGAGCTCGCAGGGGGGAAGCGTTGTAATTGCAGACTGCATTTTAGGGGCACAAAAAATCCTGCGACCAGCATCCTATGGCCTTGGCCCTGCCCCCTCTAATGAGAAGGCAGCTCTATGATCCTATAGCTCATTAACAGCAAGCCTTTTTAATGAGCTTTCAGCAGGGTGGATGGGAGAGGGCACCAGATGCACACACACCCCCACTACCAATTACTATTGTGTAGCGAAGAATAAGGAGGGAATGAAGAGAACCAAAGCCATTCACTGGACCAGACCCAGAGGAGTTGGTCCGCTCTTCTCCCCAAAGAGGGAGAGAGGGCAGGTACAGCACAGGTGTGGGACAGGTAACCACCTGCACTGCTCCCCTTGGAGCCAGGGCAGGTACACTATGTGGGCACTCCTGCGCCATTTGGTGTCCGTATGGACCCAATTACGTAAGGTGATGCAAAGCAGTGCAGTAGGCACCACGGCAAGTGCATACCTTCCCACCCCCAACTGGCCTTTGTATTCCTGCCAGCCACCTCCAGTCCACACCTCTGTACCGGAGCAACCATGACCAACCCCAACCCCGCGCCATTCACAACGGTCAGCCAATCACCTCTCTGAAATTTATCAGACACAGGCCAATAGAGCAGGGCAAGGTAGGGTGCCGGAGAAACCATCAGCTGACCCTGCGTGTGTGTCTGACCAGGGCCCGGCCCTGGGGCGGTGGTGGCATGGACTTTGAGATCTAATAGCCGTGTCTCAGCTCTACAGAGAAGGCTTTTGTTGGGCTAGGACAGGGAGAGGGGTTATAGGAGGACATGCTCATTGTAATGGCTGGAATGGAATCGATGGAATGGAGTCAAACGTGTTTGACTCCGTTCCATTTACTCCAGCCATTACAATGAGCCAGTCCTCCTATAACTCCTCCCACCAGCCTCCTCTGGTTTGAAACTTTTGGGACATTTTACATGTCTTTGCCGCTGCTCCTGCAGTGAAATGTCCAGGAAGCCATCACGGTTGTGCAAGAGATTTCTGGGTGTGTGTGTACAAAATACTTCCAGCTGAACCAATTGAAGTGTTTACAGAGCTAGCAGCACAGTCATGGTTACCTCCCCTGCCTTATGGCCATGCAGTCATGGGATTCATTCATGATATTGTCTTTGACTCTTATTGTTAGTATAATCTCAAGGGGTAAACAGGGACGCACTGTCATATTGATAAGACATCCAATGATGAAAGTTACCATAAATACCCCAGACAAACATGCAGTTCTGTGATACACTGTGGTATTGTATGGGGCAGGCCTGGAGCTACAAACATGCCTCTACCTTATATTAGAAGTGAGGTTATGCCTTCTCATGTAAAAAGCCAATTAACTTCTCTTAATTACATGTCTTAACGTATGCCATCCAATCCTCCTCCCCCATGCCTCCCCTGTCCTTGGGGACCAGAACGGAGAAGGCAGGGCAGGGGTTAGGGTACACACCAAAGGGGTGAGGAGAAAAGGGAGGCTAACCCTTCATTCCCACAACCTCCACCTCCCTCCCCAACAAAGACCACAACGTGAAACCTAAACCCTGGAAGTACACTCCCCCACCTTCCACCCCTCCCCTTCATCACCTAACTCTCACAGTGAGAGTGTGAGAGGATTGGTGAGAGGCAACATGGTCCCAGCCGTCAATCCAGTCTGTGCCATTCAACACCTCCACATAATGAGCGGGGGAAACAATGCATTCAGATGGTCTCCATTCTTCAGGGGTTATATAATGATATTGAATGGCGGGGAGGACCGTATGAGAGTGGACCTGCCGGACTTGTATGGGGGATAGTCATGACAAGGTGGGGACGCTGTGATACAAGGTTATGATAAAAACATTTAGCTGGAGGACATCACACAAAGCAAACAGCAAACCTCTGGTCTAGGATCTATAGGATTTCAATGGACACAACTGCCTTTATGCTGAAGCCTGAAGTTCACCAGCATTGGGATGTGTGTCCTCGAGTACAGTTTCAATGAATAGCCTAACTGAAAATCGGTATCTGCCTGATTCTCTTGAGTAAATTGTAGCCTAATACACTGATCGTATGTCATAAATGCCACTGTCTCCATCTCTCCATTCATGGTCTACATCTCATACGCTTTGTCAGGACCCACAATGGTCGAAACCTTACTTAAAACTTGGAACATTTAAACCTCTTTATTTTCACTCTATTCATCACGCCTGAAACGTGTCATAATTTTGAGCACTATTGACACCGTGAACATATTTGCTGGAATTCTCTTTGGAGTACTGTCATTTCAGTGGAAACTCTCGTCTCCACTGGTAGAATCTGGACCTCTTCCACCCACCTCAATACACCCTTATGACCAGCACAGAGAAAGATAGAAGCAATGTGATATTCCATCCGTCTCATTCTTTCACTAGCTACCTATTAATAAAACCTCCACTGCCAACTCCACCCACTCAATAACAAGCAGTCTGTTAACACTTCCAACACATGACACACACGAACATGTTCCCACTGCACCTGGTGACCCTGGTTATAAACCTGACACTCTCTCTCTCTCTCTCTCTCTACACACACCTGAGGGCCAGTCACAGGGTCATTCTAGCCCCCCCAGCAACACATGAGAGAACTGGAAGAACTAGCTCCTCTGACCCCAGATCCATCCTTCCAGGATTACGTGACAGACACACACACATACACACACACACACAGTCTAACTGCCATGACCTGGCATGACCTGGCATGACCTGGCATGACCTGGATGTCCAGCTAAGCCAGCTCTAAGGAGAGTAGGCCCTGATTCGTGCCAGGTGAAGGAGGAGTTAGCGATGGTTGTGGATAAT